GCATTTAAGCAGTTTTTGCAATACTTTGCTACAGGATCTGACACCTCTTCATGTCAGGATTATGAGGAGTGCGATGAGTGTTGTTGTCGGAGGGAACTTACACACTGTAAGTTACAAATGAATAACCACATAAACTTTCTCAATATACGCTCGCAACTCATCTTAGTTCTTACTAGTTCTGGATTCTATTCAATAACATGAAGAATGATAAGTAAATCTGCAGGTTACAAAATTCATTTTCGAAAACAGCCTCCATTCAGAGGAAACTTCCGTCGTGACGTCACGTGTAAACCAGCAATATTGGGCAATGTATGTATAGCAATAGCAAGTAGTAAAGGTGCCCATTAAAAGAGTATGTTTACATGATGATGTCAATCGATCGGTTGTGTCCTTAACGCTCTTCTTTCTTCGTTTTTTTCAACCAATGGTGTACCAAACAAGCCACGAAATCTATTAAAATGCCCTCTCAATGCAAAAGTGTCTGTATCCCGCAGTTCACCCCGTGATTTGAAACTAGATGTACTGTAGATATCGATGGATACAACAACTTTAGGTATCCACTATGCATGGGAAAGCTTTCTTACCTTAAACAAAAAGATGATACCCCTTTGATTACAATTTCCACTGCAGAAGATGATGAAACAATGAACGGAAGAAAGGCCGGTTGAACTCAAGGTTCTTCATCAAATGTTTACTCGACGTTGGGATATGGGGACGAGAAGGTATCCGTTACGTCACAGAACTGTCACAACATCCCGTCACGTGTCCTCCTTGCTTGTCACGCCGTGGGAACGCCAAGGGAACGAAGTGGAGTTGATACACTGCATTGTACAACGGAATCTTGACAATCTTGTCTCGAAAGTACAGTGTCAACGAAAATTCTTTATGTGATCAGTGAAGAACGTAGCGAACAAGTCTTTAGAGATTGAAATGAGAGGTAAAGTGAACTTATTTAAGTTTGGGTAAGATTTCCGTACAATCCGTTGATTATGCATTTTGTATGGGGCTCTACGGAAATCTTAACGTTAAGATTGTCAACTGACGTTCGCACTGTGCTGCTAAATCAGCCTATTAATCGGAGAAGGATTGTCTGTGATTCATCTTTGCTAACCGTATATGGAGACCATGTAATTTTTCTCAGAATGTGTGGAAAATGATTTGATTGGCTGTTACTCATAGATCACCACATCATGTAAGTGAAGGATTTGATTGGCTTTAGGGCCTGTTGCAAAACATAGTAGGCAATCAGAAAACTATCACATTGGCCGTTTTCACACAAGAGACGGATTATCTGTATCAATTATTATTAATTCATCTTCAAAATCCGTCAAAATTGACAGAAAAACAGATGGATAAGGTCAGGCGGATTGTCCATCCAAAATTAAGACGTGAATAGCGCTTTGCACTAATGACGTCACAAATATTTTCATTTGTTGGTCCTTAGTAAATTTTAAAGTAATTGCTGTGACTTGAAATCCTTGTTTTAAAAGAACCAACCCATAAAACAGAATATGAACCTGGTCAGTATAAGAGTTTTGTATGGGAAAGTCATGTTCACAAAGATGAACAACAAAATAAAGAAAATAAGGGGTCTTTTTTCGGGTCTTAGTTTCGGGCAAAAATAAAGAAAATAAGGGGTCTTAGTTTTGAAGATTTTTCACTAACATTATATATCCTGAAATTAGTAAAATCCAACTAGTAGTCTATTATCAAAGTATAAGAGCATTCTGATTTTTCACTAACATTATATATCCTGAAATTAGTAAAATCCAACTAGTGGTCTATTATCAATGCCGCATTCTGATTGGTTGAGCTACTACTAGGTTATATGTTATAGCACACTAGTAGCGAAAAGCGCCGGAGTATTGGCGGCAAAAAAGGATCAAAGTCTTGCTTTAAGTTGTTTTGTCTCAATATTTTTGACGCACTAGTTGGATTTTATGAAAACAATATTATGCCTCTGGCCCTCATGACCTCTGAGTCAATAGCCCATTCGGCCTTCGGCCTTTGGCCTCATGGGCTATTGACTCAGAGCCCATTCGGGCTCGAGGAATTAAATAATTGACTTGTGCCAAGACAACAAGACGTGTGATTTTATTTCTTATGCACTGTCATTACTGTGGGTCAAATTATGTTATGGCTTTTGCTTAAGAAATGTACAGAAAGCAGGGCTTCAAAACTGTTCATAAAATGGTGCATTTGGTGAAATATGTAGGCAAAGGTTGTTTTTTTTTTAGTGCTTTTATTACGCTACTTTGGTTACCTGGCCGCACAACGCACAACAACAGAACAAACTTAAACAATTTCCGGTTTGCGCTAATGTTGGTGTGCTCTTCAGCGTAGAAATTCCACCACAGGCTTGCGAGAAGCACATACAACTCGATTTTCTCTCTAGCAATTTCAGTTTTGGAGTATTACACAGCCAGAAATGTTGTCATGTTTCAGTGAATAGAAAGTGCTATCTGACTTGACAGAGCTACAGATCCAATTTTAGTAGCCCTTTTGATCAGGTCGCTTTAATTTCTGAATTTAACGGTTTATTTGAGTTACTTGGATTTACTTCCTATAACAGTAATCCCTTTTATATATTAGAGTGAAGCTCAAAAAACATTTTAAAAATGCTCATTACAAATTTTAAGAACAATTTTCTTTTCAGAAACGCATGTTGCTTATGCAAAGCTGTCGAGTAGAAGGCAAAGTTTGTCTGAGTCATGCAGGGGCTCTAAGGTGACAAAACCTATTTTTAGTAATAGTGGAAAGCACTATTACCCCCTTTTCATAAGAACCTATGTAGCCTAAAATTTTCAAAAGGTTCTTATTTTACAAAAATGAAGGCAAAGAAGAAAATACAGCCAGAAAAAAAATTAAGTCTAGGTTTCAGTCAGTAAGATTCAAAATGTATCACAGCATTTTGTTGACACTGCATCGTGAAAGACATTCGTGCTAGTACTTTGGAAAGATAAAATTATTTTACATGTTTATCATCTAAACTAGTGGTGTAATGATTAATTGAATTCTCAATTAATCGCGATTATGACCGTTCGTTTCGATTCACAATTCTTTGTTTCCACTTATCGATTTTGGTTTGATTTCTGTACACCTTTTCCAGGGTGTCCTCAGTGAGTTATTATATTCCAAATAAGAATCCAGAACTCTTTAATGTGCGTTTTGGATTGATGAGCTAAGACAATAGCTGTTCATGCGCCATTTTGTGTTGCCTGGTAAAAATGCTGCCCTTCAAGCTCCCCTTTAGGGCTGAAAAGTTGCAAAGATGATACAGACTTCTGTATATCATCTCAAAAAATGTCCTAGATCGATTTACTTAATTCTTCTTTAGGACAATAGTAAGGAAGCTGTGCTCTTTATCGGCCAAGAACAACTCATGAACAGAACCACTGGTGATAGCTAGCACGCATTTGAAATAAGTATGCGTCATTTTTTTATATGAAGCTCATATTTCTTTCCATACATAACAGTTTGCTGTGCTTTTTAATGAACAAACATCACTGAAAAAATAATAGTGAGGATGAAAGGAGTGAAACTACTTATTAAGCAAAAATTCATTGCAAGGAAAGAGCTAGTTGTACACATGACAACAGACTTGTCCCGGTTTCCTTTAACTGAGGGTGCATCCACCAGTGGCCAACCCCAAAGTATACCCTGGTTCAATGTTTACAAAATTAATGTGGTAGTCTGACTGATCATTAAAATAATTTAGTTTAATGACCAGCTCCTAGTTGGATTGCTTTTTGCAACTGGTTAAGCTGTGTATTACTTTAAATGTGATGATCCTGCATACAGTGTATTTCTCATCCCGTAGTTCAAATATACCAAATTCGCATCATGTCAAAGAAAAATATATTCCAAGAGTTATGGATGTTTTTTGGTGAATTAATGACCATTATGTTGACATGTTTTAACATTATCTTTTGACATTTTGTCTTTTGTCTGTTATCAAGTGTTTCTTTGTGTTGCAGCAACTATTTTAGTTAGCCTGCGAGCAAGTTCTCTACCAGGGCACTCTGGTGGCCAGGCAGGAAAAGAAGGAGTGCTTGCAACTACCTCTCTGGAATTTAATTATGTGCATCTTAAAGTCGAAGCGAAATGCTGATTGGTGGACATGACACTTAATGATGTCATTACCCTTGGCATGTGCTTTTTAATGTTTGTTTACATTCACACTTGTTTATGCTTCGTGCTGATTGGCGGAAATCTGACAGTCGATGGGGGGCCACAGGGGAATTGGATTTGGAATTCAAATTCCCGAGACGTGGTTGCAAGCTCTCGTTCTTTTTCCCACCCTGCCACCAGAGCGGTTTGGGTATTGTTCAATGTCTTTTCAATCTTTTCTAGTACATCACTTGGGGTTTGTTTGGGGAGCAAGGGTGGCACAGTGGTGAGAGCACTCGCCTCCCATCAATGTGGCCCCGGTTCAAATCCCGGCGTCGATGCCATAATTATGTGGGTTGAGTTTGTTGTTGGTTCTCTCCCATGCTCCTAGAGGTTTTTCTCCGGGTACTCCGGTTTTCTCCTTTCCTCAAAAACCAACACTTTCAAATTCCAATTCGATCTGGAACGCACGGACACATTTAAACGATTTCATATGAACTCCTAAGTGCTTCGTGGGTAAAAAAGCCAAAAAAAAAAAGCAAGAAAAATTGCACCTGACCGCAACAACAACAACTACCCTGTTATTCATAAACAATAGCTAAAAGAGAATAATCATGCTATGTAAACCAGTCAGACCTTGTGACTAGATTCTAGACAGATTCATAGTATAGGTATGAAATTTTTGGATCCTAAATGCAGACATCTCCTGCAGAATGACTCCAGCATTGAGGATGATGAGAGATGGCTGCATTTGCAGGCTATTGAGTATCCAGCAAGTCCCTTGTTTGTCATCATTTACTTTAAACTAACTGGCCCTTGGCTTAAAAAAGTATGTATTTTTTTTTAAATCAACAGGAAATCTAAAAATTCATGAAGGAGTCCACTCCAGGGTAAAGTCGTACAAGTGTAAAGTGTGTGGCAAGTGTTTTAGCCAACCAGGAAACCTAAAGATTCATGAAAGAGTTCACCCTAGGGAAAAGCGTTATGAATGTAAACAGTGTGGAAAGTGTTTTAGCCAATCAAGAGGCCTAAGCACTCATGAAGTAATTCACACCGGAGAAAAGCGTTATGAATGTAAACAGTGTGGAAAGTGTTTTGGGTTAGTAGGAAACCTTAGACAACATGAAACAATCCATAGTGGACTAAAGCCTTATGAATGTAAAGAATGTGGCAAATGCTTTAGACTAGCATGGATGCTAAGGAGCCATAAAATTGTACATACTGACAAGCCAAGGCCAGTAGGAGCCTATAAATGTAAACAGTGTGACAGGAGTTTTAACAGTTCATATGCGTTAATAAAACATGAAAGAGTCCACACTGGGGAAAAGCCGTTTGCATGTAAGCTGTGTGGCAGGTGTTTTAGCGCCAAGGAAAATCTTACCAGACATGAGAGAATCCACTCTGGAGAGAAGCCTTACGTTTGTAAGCTGTGTGGTAAGTGTTTTAGCTCTGGAGACACCTTAAAGGCTCATAACATAGTTCACACTGGGGAAAAGCGTCATGAATGCAAACAATGTGGCAAGTGGTTTAGAAGTAACGGACACCTAAGGAGACATGAAATTATCCACACTGGGAAAAAGCCTTATCAGTGTAAAATCTGCGGTAAGTGCTTCATGACACCATCATATTTAAGTAGACATGACAAAGTTCACACTGGAGAAAAGCCTTATGAATGTAAACACTGTGGCAAGTGTTTTAGTGAATTAGGCAACTTAACGAGACATAAAGCAGTGCACACTGGACTAAAGCCCTTTAAATGTAAACAGTGTGGGAAGTGTTTCGGTGCAAAAGGGGACCTCAGAACGCATGAAAGAATCCACACTGGGGAAAAGCCTTATCAGTGTAAACAGTGTGGCAGATGTTTTAACCAAGTAGGGAACCTGAGAGCACACGAAAGGGTTCACACTAAGGGAAAGCCTCCGTCATCACTGCAAAGGAACAAAAATCCATTCAAACGCTCAGGATACCAGAAAACTGCAGAAAAAGGAAAGCAGACGTTTAGATCTCATGAGTCCAATGTTCATCATAAAACCCCCTTCAAAAATTCGATGGAAAGCAAAGGAGTTGCTAGCAGTAGTAAAGGCACGCCACAGTCAGCCACCACGGAGAAACACAGCTGTTGGATTTGTCAAGAGGAGATGAGTAGTGAGACTATTCTTCTTCAACATTATGAAAACCATATGAAACGTGTATATGAAGAAGATATTTCTTAAATGTAGCTTACATTTTTGGTTTGCTAAGTTAGGTAATTTTTTCATAAATAGGATTTCAAAGCAAAGGCTCATCAATTCTGCATTTTGTTGTTGACATGAAGTTAACAGAAGGAAAAACATTTAAATATGACATTAACCGTATTTTACCGTCGCCATTTTCTTCTAATTTCGATTCTTGTCACTTGTATAACATCTAGTTCATGTAAATATGAAGAATTTTTGAGTTTGACTTCAGCTTTTTTTATCTCTTATTATCTAGAAGTAAAAAAGTTTACATGAAACACATTTCCCGTAAACATTATTGCTTGAGATGGCAATGTTCACGTTGCGTGGCTATCCCAGACATAGCCTGCGAGCAAGCTCTCCTATTTTAGCAAGCGAAGCGAGCCTCGCAAGAACGCGCGAGCGAGGGGCCGCTCGCTCGCGCGTTCTCGCGAGACTCGTTTCACTCGCCCAAATAGGAGAGCTTGCTCGTAGGCTATCCCAGACACGTTTCTTGAGTGGTTTTATAACTTGCGCTATTTTTTTGTCACTTGCTATGTTATATATTTTTATGGCTTTGCATAGCAACAAGTCCTGTATATCCCATATAGCTCAATTAAAAGCAAAAACGCGAAATTAAGAATAGACGTTTTTTAGCAATTAAGGTGGCTCCGTAATTAATACAAGAGCATTTAGCTGTGACAAATTTTCCGTCATAACTTTTTGGTTTTTAACGCGATGGCTGCGAAACTTTGCAAAGAACAACGGATATCATTTGGCAATAATACGAAATATTCCGATGTCATTGATGGTAAATATTTCTTGAGAAATTAGCGCTTAAAAGGACCCTACTGTTCAAAGAAAATCGCCTCTAGTAACAAATTTGCTGATATTTTTTACTGACATTTCTGGTATCGGCTTTAATTGATATAATAAATATGCCAGAGGAATTTCAGAAAAATCGTTGGAGCAGAAGTCTGTAACTAAAAGTCGCTCAAAATTCAGCTGTGAAATTGTTTTGGAATTTCAAAAATAAATTACTATCAGGCAGAAGGAGCCACCAGTTTGAATTTTCGGGACAAGTAAATTCAACGTTTGCTAATTCTTAAAACAAAAGCCGATTGCCTATCGTGCTATTCTTTAAAAAGTACTTTTTAGCTTTAGAACCACTATAAATTGCTCCAAACCTTGCTCTGAAGTAGAATGCCTTGTTCTTCGACATTTTTATAATATCCCTTGGCAGTTTTGGCTCAAACTCCTGCTGCATACATTTTGATGTATTGCAATGCATTTTCAACGACTTTTACTGCTGTTCGTTGCTTCCAACTCAGGAAAAAAGTATTGAGATTAGACGCTACCTCGTATCAGAGCTCAGAAAGAACTGTCCAGCACCTTTGTTTATGACTACAAAATGAGCACGAGCGGCAGTTCTGCGAGGAATTCGCACCTCACCCAGGGGGGACGAACGACAATGATGACCATGCCGGTGAACCGAATAACAACAACGCAAAAACGCAAAAAAACTGCCCGTGAATAAATTTACAACTCTGAAATTTTTGTCACTTCTTCCTTTAATGAATGGGTATTTTTTTTCTTGATTATTATGTTTTGCTCTGCAATACATGTTTATACAGATCGGTTCACAGACATGGACATCATTGCCATTCGTTCCCCCGGGCTGAGGTGCGAATTCCTCGCAGAGCTGCCGCTCGTGCTCATTTTCTGGTCATAAACAAAGGTGCTGGACAGTTCTATCTGAGCTTCGATACAAGGTAGCTTCCAATCCCAATACCTTTTTCCTGAATTGGAAACAACGTACAGCAGGAAAAGCCGTTGAGGATGCATTGCAATACATCAAAATGTATGTAGCAGGAGTTTGAACCGAAACTGCCAAGGGATATTTTAAAAATGTCGAGGAACAAGTCATTCGACGTCAGAGCAAAGTTTGGAGCAATTTATAGTGCTTTTCAAACTGAAAAGTACCTTTTAAAGAATAGCACGATAGGCAATCGGCTTCTGTTTTCAGAATTAGGAAACACTGAATTTACTTGTCCCGAAAATTGAAAGTAAAGTAATCTATTTTTGAAATTCCAAAACAATTTCACAGCTCAATTTTGAGCGACTTTTAGTTACGGACTTCTGCTCCAACGATTTTTCTGAAATTCCTCTGGCATATTTATTATATCAATTAAAGCTGATACCAGAAATTTCAGTAAAAAATATCAGCAAAATTTTTTACTAGAGGCGATTTTCTTTGAACAGTAGGGTCCTTTTAAGCGCTAATTTCTCAAGAAATATTTACCATCAATGAAATCGGAATATTTCGTATTATTGCCAAATGATATCTGTTGTTTTGTGCAAAGTTTCGCAGCCATCGCGTTAAAATCGAAAAAGTTATGACGGAAAATTTGTCACAGCTAAATGCTCTTGTATTAATTACGGAGCCACCTTAAAAGGGAAGCGCGGTTGAAGCAGGTTGAAGAGAACTTCAGGAGAACTTTGCGATTTGAGTGAAGCTTTCGAAGAACTCGTTCCAGCGAGATGGTGTGCTAGTATTTACCCAGAAAACTTCGAGAATCTAGAAGCGATCACTTTAGTTCAATTTTCAAGGGCACCCAACGACGGTTTCCTCCCAAATGCATTGAAAACACTTTTTAAGCAATGCAGAGTACTATGTATTCTAAGTGCGCTAAAAAAATTTATGTCTGTTCGGTCGTCCTAGGGCAACTTGAGTCTTTTCGAAATTACAAAGGCTTCAGTATTATTTTCCGGAAAATTTTAACCGCAATTTATAGTTCTACAAAAGTAACAATTTTTCTGACTACTCTCTGCATCGTATATTCGATTCCCAAATTTTTTGGTTTCTTTTCTCTACAAAAAATAGCTTAACCTGGGGAGTGAAATGGGAAAAATTAAACTTCAGAAAATCGTAGGGAATTTATTCGATAGACTTTTGTAGATTGAACATGAATAGAATGGTCATGCAGAAATTTTTAGCCTTCCTCAAGCCGGCTGTAGAAAATTGTAGGCAATTTTTGCTTCTCCGAACAGATATTTCACAGAAAACAGTCGTTGGGTCAGTGCCCCTGGATTTTGTTCTCTTTTCACAGCAACTGAAAGTGAGGTTGCTGGATACCTTCAGGGTTGTCTTTACGTGCAAGTGATGTAGTGCGCTCTGGTTAAACTGTAAATAAGAGCATAGCCTGCGTAGCTGGCGGTATTGTGTACTAGTCGAGTGAGATTTGGCGGCGGAACCGCTGTACCAGTCGGTATTTCAAGCGACTCATCCCCACTCCTTTTTTTGGATCGCGGCTCCGCCGCCAAAACTTTAATCACACAATACCGCGAGCTGCGCAGGCTAATAAGGGCATTATCATCTGATATACAAGCGAGCCAGAAAGGGGTGTATTTATTTTACACTCCTCCTTTTTTACATCTCTAACATGTTGGGAGAGAAACAAAAACAAGCGGTGAGCAAGCGTGCAAATGAATCAAACAAACTCATTGATTGGTTGAATTTTTTATTCAAACTGTGATTGGACTAGATCTTGACAGGCTGTCATGTCAAATGAACTCTCCCATCGCCCACTAGATCAAAACTCAAAAACCCATTCGCAACGACAATTTTTAGCGCAACACAGCGTTGCAACATCATTGTTTCGAATAGTTACAACATTGTTCCAATATTGCAGCGCCGTGTTGCGCTAAAAATCGTCGTTGTGAATCGTCTCTTGTAACATCGCCGACTCGACCCAGTTATTTTGTGAGGGTACCATCCTACTTTGAAGCTCTCCGGTATCCCCACCTTTGCGTTGATCGTAAGTCTAACACATGGCATGGATAACATATAGATCAATCTACAATATAGCATAAAATCTTTGGCGATCGGAGTAAATGTCACGTGGTTATAGAGCCCACCTCTTTGAAGTCTGAGTCTAAATTCTGCTGTTGCCGGCATTTTTTTTGTGAAAATCTCCCGGCTACAAATAGTGCGCATCTTGTGTGGGGAGGGACGAAATAGGAGCTCCCCTAAAAACGCCTGCGTGGGAGGCTATCAAAAACAGGGGACGAACTAAATCGTTAGATTGTGACAACTGACGTGTCAGCGCGGAACGTAATCTCGTACCCAGATCTCACTCTGTCTTAAGGAACCTTGGCTTGAAGAAGGTAACGGATTGAAATTACTTTTTTAAGATAGCTTGGAGCTGAACCCTGAAGCCTTAAATGTAATAAGAAGAATCCTAAAATTTATACGAGCCTTAACTGTTCACCAGTGAAGTTCTCAAAGTAAAGGAACCCTGGGAAATATGCAACGGATTAATTACTTTTTAAGGTGCTCGATAAACTAACCTTAAATGTTTGGATTCATTGAGCCTTTGTTCAAGTTTCTCAAATTTGATGAAAATAACGGTGCACGGTAAAAACCATTTGATTAAACTTTAGTTTACAAATTTAGTCGGAACACCAATCTATTAATAGTCCAATCTAGTAGTAATGAACTCATGGATAAGCCTTTCAGTAGATTCATGGGACAAATACTTCCTAATATGCCGGATATTGTACAGGCAATAAAAAGCACCATCCCGAATTATGCGTACCGTCAGCTTTAAAAAGTAAAAGTTTCTGATGTTTTCTCTACATTTGTCTCGGCATTTTGACTTTTTCGAAGGCTTTGGTCACTAGAGGTTACACTACCAAGTTACACCACGTGACCAGGTTTCCTCTTACCTGTCGTTGACTGTTCGTTATTTGATTTTCTACATATTACAGGGGCACCGAACGAGAATATGGCTCAAAACCGCTTAAACATAGCATTTTTAAACGTATTTTAGTATTTAAACGGTAGACATAGGCATATTTTTATCCCCAGAAAATTTTTCATCTGTTCGGATTTCCTAGCTAAAAGTCTGGTGATGCAAAAATTATAGGAATCGAAACTTACTTTTTCAAAAATTTCAGCCTGAAAAAAGGCTCCTGAAAATTCTATGTGACCTTTTCTACCATGTGTAAGATGTTCGAAAATCTTAGGAGAGGCAGGCAAGCAAGAAATTTTACAAAAAATGTTCTCAAATCTCAAATCGTCGTCCGAACAGATATTTTCCGAAAATTGACGTTGGGTGCCCTAAGTAGTTATCGGCAGGTAATTTTTTTTATCGATAAGAATTGTTTTGAGCTGTTTTTGTCTGCTGATTTTTTTATTTTGAGAAATTCTTAACTTGATTCTGACGTTTGCCGTTACTCTGCCTTTCACTGTTTACGTGAAGCTACTCTCTATTGACAAATTTCCTGAAGCTTGTAGGTCCACAACACTTAGACAATGGGCGCTTTCCATTTAGGAAAAAAACCCGGAAATTTCGGTGGTAGCAAAAGTGGAATTTCCGATTGGTAAAAAGTTGTTCCATTTGGTCGTAAACCCCGGTACGTGGCGGTGCCCGACCGTGGACCTGGAACTGTTTAAAAAACGTAAATGGAACGCAGTTCCGTTCGGAAATTCCAACCGGGTAGGACCACCTTTTTATTTTTCACTTTTTCTGGGAATTTTGACTGGGACGAACTGAAACGTGTTCCATTTACCGCCGAACCGGAAATTCCGGAAATTTTGAGTAAATGAAAGATTAATGTTTAACCTAATTTGTACACACATCCCTGGGGACAAAATGATTCCGATTTTCAGATATCGTTTTGTTCCCAGTTCTTTGCCAATGTAATGTTCGCTTTTAATGGCTCTGGCTTTGGTTTTTGACGAAAAGGTTGGTGAAAGCATGGTGCATTGTTACATCCCAAAATGATTCCGATTTTCATATCGTTTGTTCCTGCATGCCAACGTAAACCAAGCTTTTTAGTGCCTTTTGTTTTATGCAGTTGCTCGAAGCATGGTTAGCTTAACCAATGGTTAAAGCTAACCATACTTTGAGCAACTCAGCCCAGGTTTTGAAAATGGGTGCTCAGTGAACAATTTTCTTGTCCAAATACTTAATTACTTACTTACTTATCCTGAAAATCATCTCGGACCGCCCTAGCAAAATGTTTCCACACTATCTGATCGATTATTTCTTTGGAATTTGTCCAGTTCAATGTACTAATGGGTGCCCAGTAAACAATTTTCGGCTTAACTACAGAATACAGGGCAAATTTTCTAGGTATATTCGTTGGGGTGGCTCGGTAGTCCCGACTAACGAGCTGGGAATCATCCCGAGCCGTCGTAACAAAATCTTTCCACACTACATGACCGACTACATCTGAATGCTGCCGCTAGATTTACTGTTGGAGTATCGAAATTCGACCATAAACCTTGTTCGACCTACACTGTCTTCCTTTGATTTATCGCATCCAGTTTTAATAAATTCTTGCTTCTGGTTTACAAAGCTTCGCATAATCAAGCACACGACTATATCAAGGACTATTTACACATGAAGACTTACCCAACTCATTGCCTGTGCTCAAATGACCATAACCTTCTTGCTGTTCCTAGAACTAACCAAAAGACATTTGGTGATCATGCCTTCACACACTCGCGACCTTTTCTCTGGAACAACCTACATGTACCTCGTGAAATACGACAAGTCCAACTCTGTCTCTGACTGCTTTTAAGTCAAAGTTTAAGACTTACTTTTGAAACTAGCATACAATCCATCTTAATCTCGTATGTTTTTAAATTGTTTTTTTTTAACACATAAATTTTTATATTTCTAACTTTTTTAATCTTACATTGTAAATAGACTGCAGAACAGTCCGTATTTTTGCGTATTCAAGTACACACGAACTGTCAAATAAAAGGTCTGGAGTGAGGCTGAAAACGGAGAACGAGACTGGGGAGAGATGCTAAAAATACTGACTGTCCAATTTGCATTCATTATATTCATTCAAATTCCCCATTTCTCCCAGCCACAGGCAATTCCCATTGGCTAAAATAATTTTGATGCAAGCTGTTAACAAGCTGTCAAGTTATGTTTCCAACAAGTCATTCACGATATTTGCTACAGTGATGAATTCGCTGTCTGTTTCTCTAATTTGCGAAAGCATCGCAGCGCAGTTTCTAACGGTCCTTTGTTCCGGAAGGTGAGAAAACTCTTGTGGAGAAAGATTCTCCTTCATGGAGGACAACAAAAAGTTTGTTTATCAGAAGGTCAGCCAACCTTGGTAACGTTTCACCTTTTTCTAGTAGGGGCAACATTTTCAGAACTTGTCAATCTACTCTTAACATTATCAAACTGTGTTTTGAAACAACGGCGGAACATTCTGCAATTTATTATCTGAGCGCCTTGCTCGGTTTTCTCCCTCTTTGAGGAGCAGGAACAGGCCTTGTTGGCATACTGCCACTTCCACTCATTTTTGATCTTCCCGAAAACACCACATTGCCCATGGAAACAATGCACAAGACGCTTTGGAATTACTGGATACAGCGTTCACCACAAGATTCAAAGCCAAGTGCAAACAAATCATGCGCTATACTCTTGTGTAATCAGTCACTGGGTGTATCAAATTTACAAAGAGGGTGGAGTTTTGAATAGATTTTCCACACCTCGACGACATTTTCAAACACCCTGGTCAGAACAAACTCATTGTATGGAAAACGGACAGTCCATTTTTCTTCTCTCACCTCGGCTCGTGCGCTTTGCACATGTGTGTCTCTTGCGCTACTCTAATGCCACACTAAACCGATTTTGAGAAAAAACACACTGTTTTGCAGTCTTCATTGGAAAGCACTTTAAAATATTTTATAATTTTAAGGCTAAATAAATCTAAATTATTATTACTATTATTATGATTATTATTGTTGTTATTATTATTATTGGTATTGCCCAGTCCATTGTCAGCTTTGATGGTATTAATGTATGTAGTTCATGGTCTACCTCGATTTGGGTTTCCTTGTTGGGAATCCCAAAGCAGCATTTTTGAAGCAGTCTCTTCATTGTAACGAGCGCAGTGGCCAGCCAATCTTATTAAATCTTCTTGCACAAATTGTTCCATTATTACTCCAGCCTAGCTATAGCTCCTGGTTGTTCGTATGTAGTTGCCAGTGCACATTAGGGGCCATTTGCAGTACTCTGGTGTAGCATCCAGTGACACATTCCTCCAACTTCTTGATCACAGTCGACGTTTCACTTCCATAGAGTAAGACAGACTCCACAGTTGCTCTAAACAGTCTCATCTTTGTTCCTCGTGGCAGCTTTGATTTCCACACTTTTGTTGATTTTGTTGCAAGCTATCCAAGCTGAAGCCTTTCTGGCCTTAAAGTCTTGTTCTGAGTCACTGATCCATGAACCCAGATACTTGAAGTTCTCAGCAGGTTCAATTGCTTTGCTGTCTTGTGTTTTGAGCCCAGCATCAACATGATGGTAAAAGAACATGCATTTTGTCTTCTTTGCATTTGGTAAAAGACCGACCTTGGCCGAAACTTCTTCAACATTTTCAGTGCTTGCGCCTGTTGAAACTGATCACTTAAAAGAGCCATGTCATCTGTACACAAGTAAAGTTTAGATCAATGACTTTTTCAGCTTTAACTCTGCGTCCTAGTCTGGGCCAACTCAGCAAGACTCTCCTCATGACCCTCAATAGCCTCTTGTAGTACATAGTCCAGTAGTACATACATGTAATATGTTTGGTGACTACAGAACTGCAGACCGTGGTAGTAGAAAACTACATGTATGGGACTGCCTCCAAAATTAAAGTGGCACCCTCAGCTCAGCCAAGAAGCACTCTAATCTTGTAGTCTCCTGTGTTTTTTGGGGTTTCCTGTTGCTTTTTAGTCATTACAATCAGGATATAATTTTGGCAAAATGATTTTTAAGGGGTATGCCCTGGAGTGTCATCATAACTTAATTTCAAACATAACACTCTTATTGTGACATTCAAATTATGCTAGTTATGCACATTGCATGGAGTGTAAACAGTTTCAAATTATTTTTGTATGAATGTAAACTGGTCAATAAAGACCCAAATCCCAAAGAACTTGTGATTGTAGGACTCCCTTGTATTCCTTTATTCTGTAATTATTAGTAATTGGCTTATCAATATTATAGTGCTCCGAATGTCAGACTTACAATTTATAACCCTAAGTGGGAAGCATTTTATTCATTTTGGTTTGTGTACACTGTATGCTAGGCTTGTTCATTACTTGTTTCAATCTGTCATTTGCCTCTGTACAAACGAGAAGAGTACTGGAGGCAAAATGCATCCAGCATTTGTTTTGGGATTGTTACGTGGATGTGGTGGTCAGCTATTTCGCCTTTTTTCCCTGTCTCTAGTATTAGTCCCAGTCAGAGGTCTTAGCAATAAGTTAAATCGGCCCAGTTTCCCTCTCATGTCTAAACTAGCGAATATTATTGATCACAACATTTCAACACTTTGTGCTGCTGGGCTTCATTTGTGATAGTTACAGTTACACTATGTCTTTACAAAATTTTGGCTTGATTTATGCTCCTTTCTCGGTCCTCCCAACAGCGGCTGGTACATGTAATTGAGCCTATACTAAATCCCACTTTAAAGAAATCTCACATAGTTTTGATGATAGATATGGTTGCCACAGGTCAGGGAAAAAATTCTTCAAGGTCAGAGAATCTCACTTCATTGTCAGGGAAAATTTAAGGCTTTGAAAGAAATCAGGGAAAAATGAAATTTTAAAAAGTACATATTTATTATTTTTTCTCTCATGGTGCGTACAGGTCATGGAAATCCTGGAAAGTCATGAAATTTTTAAGAATTTCATTTTCCAGGCCATGAATGTCATTGTTCATTTTATAGTATTTGAAGTCTTTACAGTTTAACTTGTTTTATACAGTTACCCTTGTCAAATGGCCAGATTACCCTGTAATACTGCCCATTGACTGTTTAATACTGGTTGGACAGACCTTAGAGTTAATCGTATCCTGTTCACAGACCCTCTATGTTCTCTTTAGATATTGTTGAACATGGGTATGAAAATAAAAACCATGGGGACTTATTGAAAATTAGCACACTTCTATTGCTCCTCACTCGCTGTGCCTGTGATTTTCAAAAAGAAAAAGAGAACAATGTCAGGGGATTAACTGGGCACAAGTGCAAGTAGAAGACCACTTAACACCAAGTACATGTACAGTGTATCAGTGGCCATTAATGATAGTACATCTCAACAACATAATAGTTTAGTAGAGTTAAACACGATAACAGAAATACATACTAGGGATTTCTTGGAAAAGGAGATGGTGACTACCTAATACAAGTCATTAAAGGAAATGATTTCGTGGACCTTTCTTAATTCACCCCACAATAAAGGGTGATCTCTAAATAATACAGTGGTGTAGGAGATGCTTGTACGGTCTCTCCTGATTGGTTGCAGAAAACCCTGTTAATGCGGTCACCAGTGGGCTAAAAAAGTTTGGCCGTATGAAATGTGTGGCTGTCTTAACGAGGGTTTTTTTTACAAGAAATTGTATGGCAGGTTTTGTCAGGCGGCCAAAAAAAGTGGCCGTAATAACGAGGTGACCGTATTACCGAGGTGGCTGTAAGGATGGGTTTCAGTGTACATCAAATCGACCTTTGCATGTACGTGAGATTAAACCCAACATAATTCTGCTTTCTTTGGAAACTATGCAATTGATGTTGGAATTCCAGGAGAGGTTATGACTCACAAGTAAGCCAAGGTCCTTAATCTCTGAAACAATATCCAAGGATGAGTCATATATTTGCGTCCAACGGCTGTCTTTTCTTGGATATCCTCATACGCTTACACTTCCCAAAAGTCTATATCTATATTATGAAAAAAGGAAGACTAGCGTTAAAACTTCAAACATCTTTCTGTTTTGCCTGAACTTTATATTTGCAAAATGTCACATTGTTAAAGAAAGCAAAAGCATTATTTATCACAATTGTTTTCATTGACTCATTGAAATTCCACTTTGAATTAATCGCCACCCTCAAATACATACTGCAGCAATAGAAATGCTAAAAATTTAATGAACTTGTGAAGTGTTTCATCAAATAAATATTGTAACTATTATTGGTGTCAGTAGTGGTAGCCTTTGTAGCAGGCGACATAAGGGGTAGGGGATTGGGAGAAAAGGAGTGGGGTTGGAGAGTTAGCTAGGAAATTGGTGGGCAAAATGCAAAAAACACCAGCTCTTATAGCAGGCACTCCCTTCCCTTTTCCCTTTCATGCTTTTCTCCCCATTCCCCTCCCCTTTTTGCACCGGCCATGCATGATCTAACAGTGGTGGAGTCAGAAGGGAGTCGGGGGGTGGGGCTCCTCTCCTATTGACCTTATTGGAGGGGGACTGGGGAATGGAAGAGGTAGGTGGCTAGTATGAATGTTGTTAAATTGCTTGAAAGTGATTATCAAGTCACAACTCTCTATTGAATGGCGTGATCCCTTATACTCACAACTCTGTGTAGAAATTCAAAAAATTTTCCCGGGTTTCTTTGATAATATAAGAAACCAATGAATGAGAAGTTCAAATCTTCTCAGTAAAATAACGGGCACTGAGTGCCTTTAAACGTTCTTTGTCATGGTGTAATAAAATTAAACAAGTCTGGCTTAAACACGTACGTTTTCTTTTTTTTATCAAAAAGGTAACACAAAGAAAAAGGTTTCATAGAAGTTTACAGCTGGAAGCAACATGGAAAACATAATAGATGAAGAAGGAGATACAAGGGAGTTAATCAAAGATGTAACAGTAAGCTCAAGGAGACATAAGAGAGTACACACTGGGAAAAAGCCTTATAGATGTGAACAGTGTGGCAAGTGTTTTAGTGTACCAGGGAGCCTAAGGAGACATGAAAGTGTTCACACTGGGGAAAAACCTTATAAATGTAAACAGTGTGGCAAGTGTTTTAGCCAAGCAGGAAACCTAAGGACACATCAAAGAGTTCACACTCAGGAAAAGCCTTATAAATGTAAGCATTGTGGCAAGTTCTTCAGCGAAGCAGGAAATCTAAGAAAACATGAAGGTGTCCACACTGGTGAAAAGCGTTTTGAATGTAAACAGTGTGGTAAGCGTTTTAGCCGAGCAGAACACCTAAGGTCACATGAAAGAATTCATTCAGGTGCAAAGCCCTATGAGTGTAAACAATGTGGCAAGTGCTTTAGTGACTCAGGAAGTCTGTGGAAACATGAAAGAGTTCACAGTGGAGAAAAACCGTTTGAATGTAAACAGTGTGGCAAGTGTTTTCGCAGATCGCAACACCTCAAGGCACATCATCAAAGCATCCACACCCAGCAAAAGACTTATCAGTGTACACAGTGTGGGAAATGGTTTAAAACAGCTGCAAGCCTCAAGGCACATAAAAGAGTTGAAGCCGGAGAAGGGCCATATAAATGTAAGCTGTGTGGCCGGTGTTGTTCTGGAGCAGGAAACCTTAGAACTCATGAAAGAATCCACACTGGAGAAAAACCTTATGAATGTAAACAGTGTGGTAAGCGGTTTAACACTAAAGAAAATTTAAAATGCCACGAGAAAGTCCACTCTGGGGAGAAACCACATGAATGTAATCATTGTGGAAAGTGTTTTAGACATAGAGGAAACCTAACTAAACATGGAAAAGTCCACACTGAAGAAAGGCCTTATGAATGTAAACATTGTGGTAAATGTTTTAAAACAAAATCAAAACTAAAAATTCATGAAAGAACCCACACAGGGGAAAAGCCATACCAGTGTAAACATTGTGGAAAGTGTTTTACCCGATCAGGAGACCTACTGACTCATAAAAGAGTTCACACTGGGGAGAAGCCATATGAATGTAAACAGTGTGGCAAGTGTTTTAGTACAGTGGGAAGCCTAAGGATTCATGGAAGAGTTCACACTGGAGAAAAGCCTTATGAATGTAAACAATGTGGGAAATGTTTTAGTATATCAAGAAATCTTAGAGAACATGAAAGAGTTCACACTAAGGGAAAGAAATATTTGGGATCTGGATTGGCCACCATCGAGAAACACAGCTGTTGGATTTGCCAAGAGGAGATGAACAGTGAAACTCTTCTTCTTCAACATTATGAAAGCCATATGAAAGACTTACGTAAAGGATATAGTTCTTAAAATAATTATATCTGTGTTTGATTTACTAAAGTTGATGAATTATAATGATCAGAAACGAATTTTATCCAAAGTCACGTTAGTTCTACTCTAGTGTACGTCTCCGACATTCTCTAGACTCGAGGTGGAAGGCATATAAACATTGTGATATAAGCGTGCAAAGAAAGTCGCGTGTGATAGCCAGGGGCTAGTGGATTTTGCTATCGGGCTAACGAATTCTGTTTTCAACTTGCCCAACAGATAAATGATTTTTTTTTTTTAGGAATTCAAATTACAGAATAACATAATCAATCCTGCTCGTCAAAGCTTTTTCTCATGCTAGTTGACTTTTTAGGCTGGCACATGTTAGCTACAGCGTGCCTGAATGATAAGCTGTAAACCGACTTTCTTTGCACCCTATGATACGACTTACAGTTACTTTTACAGTAGTTGATTTTTGTCCATTTTCGGGCATTAGTGTGTTCGTTATTGTTACGACCATGTCCAAATTTGAACAGGTTATCTCTGTGTCTGCGTTTTTTGTTAAGCTGCACTCTTACGAGCACTGAAACACGTCTACACTAAGAAAGTGTATAGGAAACATTTATTTTGTGAAACATGTTTGTTTCTGATAATATTGATGCAGTTTTCTGGCACTTGCGTCCTAATTATCTGCCAGTACGTGTGAAATGGTTTTCTTTGAAGTGTATTAGTGTAGGGAGTACCCTCCCCGGGATTTTATTGCCTTACAATATACAGGGGCGGATCTAGGGGGAGGGTGCAGGGGGTGCCCCCCCCCGAGATAACCTGCGGTTTTCTAATACAACTGGTATTCTGCAAAAAAAAACTATGTGGTTTATTGGTGTTGAAGTAGAGCAAGAGACGAGTGCAACCCCTCCTAAAAATATCCTGGGTCCGCCCCTGATATATCAATAATTTTGAGACTCAATGGTCTCCTGAAACGACGCTTAATCTCGAGAATCTCATTTTTTCAAAAAAATGTATCGCGCGGTTTAAGAATTATTCGCTAATTTGTTAAAGTAGACCGAAATGTTTACAACACCGCCAACAACAGTGCCTCGATACATACTAATCAAATCCTCCTTCCTAGCACTCGGCTGGAGCTATCTCCATGATCTTTCACACACGTTTTTAAAAAGATTGAAACTGCCATGAGGTGAAATTGCATGTCAAAAGCAGTTCGTTTTCAGATAACAACCGAAAATCAAGATTGTCCATTTCTTTACCATATTTCTAACCATAGTGTTAGGGTATGGCATAGGGTTAGGGTTACACTAACCCTAACACTAAAACAGCATTCTTTTAAGCAAAAAGATAGACCCCGCGTTTTACTGACACCCAAATGCAACTCACAGTAACGGCCTAATCATATGAGCTGTGCTGGCTAGCTTTGCCAAGGAGTCTTTTATCCCGGAACCGCCATTTTTATTTTGAGATTGGACGCAATGAGCATCAGTAGTGTGTTACCTGCTGTCATTTTTCTGGCTTGGTTTATTCTCCGGGCCGCCCGGCAAGCGTGATTACTTGACCGACCGGTTTCCATCCCGACTAATAGCCGAAATCAAGAGAGATCGCATTTTTTCGATAATTTTTCCGCTTCTTATCCACTGGTGGTACTCGCGAAAAAAATGAGACCTTTATCTCGCGTGCTTTTGCCTCCACGACCGACTATCAAGCAAAATACCATCTACACATGAGGCACGCCACGTCGTTCGTTTACACTTTTGGTTCACCAACATGGCGGCGTAGCGACGGTTGCTAAGATTTTTGCCACGTGAGTAACAACGATGATCGTGTTTTAGAAACACTCATAGGCTTGGCGCATTCTGCCGGCAGAATTTCGAACAGAATACGCGATTTTTGAGCTGAGCATTCTGCCGGCAGAATCAACAACATCTTCAAGTGCAAACCGCCTCCGTGAAAGTTGTTGCCCCCGCAGGGATTTCCCCCAGAAGGCGAAATCTCGAGGAGGCACTCTAGTAACTCGCGCGTATATTAAGGAAAGTACTTACAGTTGAAATATACAGTCATACAGTCAATATAGAAAAAATCTCGATTTGCTTGAACAGGGGCCGCGACGAATCGGTAGGTAATGATGACGTTTCTATTGTTTGCGCTCGCAAGAACGACAGAAAATCCCAAAGGGACCGCTCAGGTAGATTTTGTGACATTTATTGTGCAGTCATACTTCGATACTCTTTTGCGTTACGCAGTGACATTCTGTGGAGCAGTTGTTTTGAAAGTTATGGACCAAAAGACACTCGATAAGCGTAGATGAGGTTATAAGTTACGTTTAACTGTGTACATATAAACACTTGGAGAGTTTGCCAGACACGAGTTCAGAAATGTTTGATTTATATTGGAAACCTTGCCAGACTTTCTTTCTCTCTCTGACCGGAATGAGACTCAGCCCCATTCAAGCAAGACGAGTGAACAACGGCTAGCTTATCACTAGCAAAACGATGAACGATTACAGAAATTCGCCGACAATCAAATTCTGTGCTGATTTATTCCCTGCTCACAGATGTCCTTCCGTTAATTAAGTTTCAAATAAGACTAGAATGCGCGAGCGTGAATCGATCAAACGTCCTTTTAATTTCTAAGTCTTACTTTCCGGCAAATAAAATGAACTGAATGCAAAAAGTGAAAGAGAAATGGCGAAAAATTCAACTTCTAATTAAATCTTTTCTTATGGTTTAGAATAAACTATTCTCGAAACTGAGAATGTTTTGATCAAAGCTGTGTTAATCGAGCTGAAACTGTGAATGGAACCTTGCGTTTCCTGTATTTATCTCACCCATTGTATGAAAACGTTCGTTATGAATCGGTATATTTCAAAGAGCTACACAACGAGCAAGAAAGCTATTGACCGACAATATACAGAACGGGGGCAGCTGTAGTGTCAACTATGACTAGTTTTTAAAATACTTATATTAAGTCGTATTCTCCCATACACGAATCACGAAAGCTGCAAATTCCAAAGCTTTCAAGCGCAAACTGCCGGCAGAATTTCGAGCAGAATAAGCGATTTTTGAGGCGAGCATTCTGCTGTCAGAATAAGGTATTTTCGAGCAGAATAATTCAGGCTAACGAAAAATTACCTGCACTAATGAAATGCATAACAGTTGTAAGAAAAATTTAAAAATAAATAAAGAACAAATGGAAAATACCTGGTGATTAATTTGATTAATACAATTTTGCTACGCATAATGAATATCCCTAATCATAGTTTTAAGGGTTAGGCCCTAGCCTGCGTGCAGACGATAACTAAACTCCAGAGATCCTTGTTCTGGACCCCCAACGGATATTGGCGATCACGACAAACAAAACGCCTTTTTAACTGGCCAATCGTGGCGCGTATCAAATACAGCTGGAAGTCCAGAACAAGGATTTCGGTGCTGTTTCAGAGCAGTTTAATTTCGTCTGTAAGGGTGCTCCCTTCGATATTCAACTTCAGATATACCGAGCAGTATTCGAGCAGATTAAGGGTGCTCGAGCAGAATTTTGAGCAGAATAAGCGATTTTTACGAGCACTGCCGACAGGCAGAATAATGTTAAACAATAAAAATAAAAGCGAAGGAAAATGTTCGCAGTGCGCATGTTTTTTACTTGAAATATTAAATGAATTTTATTTGGTGTTTGGGATTTATTGCAAACTTCATTCGTTTCGGAAAATATCTAGAGGTTAAGGGAAATATTATAAAAAACAATTTGACTTATTTTACTTGGTGCTCAACTCCTATGCATCAGCACTGATCAAACGACATCCTCTCCCGAAATGATAAAATGATTTCTGTTCATTCATTCTCCTTGGTCTTGTTGAAGGAAAATGTTGATTGAAGAGTTACGTTAGCCACTTGTGGCATTTGCTACGATGTATGTTTGTAGTGGAGTTGTTGTAAACGTTCTTGTTGATTGGTTTGAGTAAGCTACTTCGCTACTAGTAGGTTTGGTTCCTAAGTTAATTGATGATCGATAGAAAGTTTCTCCTGACATGAATTCGTTGCAAAGGAGATGTTAGCCTGCGTGGCCGGCGTTGAAAGGCGAAGGGGAAGGGGGAATTTGGGCGCGAGAGAGAGCGTGTGGGCGCGCGAGGGAGAAGGGAAAGGAACGCCTGCAAGGACGCTATTGTTTTCTCCATTTGTTACGCTCAGATTCTGAGCGTAAAAATAGTGATTGGTCAGAATTAATTAAATGTCAATCTTCCACTTAATGCCTTGTTCCGATTGTTTGAAATAAACATCACCCCTTTTGAGTAATACATGTCATTAGTGAAGCGTGATGAGATTTCTGTACGAGAATTCATCGTTAGAAGGTATCAATTTCAGCTTAAAAGGAGAATAGAAAAACGCAGTTGAAGAACCGTATGATAATGAAGGAAAAGGCCTTGTCGGTTTTACTCGCCAGAAGAAAGAAAGGAAAAATAATGCTGCCTGTGTGCTTGTTATCTGCTGTTTCAAGGACCCACGTTATCAACGGCAAGATAATTGAAGACGAAGCGAGCCATAACTTTTGGCGATTTTTGGCTGAGGACTTCTTCTTGCCGGTTATAAAACCGCTAGGAACTTACTTTAATAATAAATTGTTGCCTTCTTGCAGATCTTCTTTCGCCGCCACCAGCGTTCTTTTGTGTGCTCCGCTGGATCCAATTCGTCTTGATAGAAATTCAAAGAGTGCGTGACGGCGAAGTGTTTTTATTTTTCTTAGACAAACATTACATTGAAAGTTGCGAAGAGCCGCTACATTTCTTATTAAATAGTTTTCCAGCCCGATTCTTTCAGCAACACTTGAATAGATTTATGCTGGATAATATGTAACTCGGCACGCGTCGTTGCAACTTTCAAGGAAGATTCCTTCGATGAACGACCGCATTTGAAGTTTTTTTATAGTACCTTTACTTAAGATTTCTTGTTTTAGGAAAATAAAAGAAGGTTAGTTGACTTAAGCTTAATAGTGAAAACTTCGGTTGAAGAGTCATTTCGACAAAGCAATTATCTCGAAGGTTTCATGCTAATGAGACTGTTTTAACCAATCGGATTAGACTTACGTCAGCATTCGGTTTACACTAAGCAGCTGGTTTCCTGGCTGATATAAAAATGGGGTGTAACACTGATTTAGGAGAGAATCGTTAAATAGGAGTTGAGCTAATCGTTTGTTTGTTGTGAGAACAAGCTAGTCCCCAGAAAGGTTCTTCAACAACAAGCCATTTCACAAGCAGAATTTATCCTACCCGACTCGTGGCTGCGTGATTTGTTACATCAAAGGAAATGGCGTCGTATTTTAAAACGGGAGAGCATTACTATAAGAGTTTAGATGTTTTCAAGGAAAAAAGCGGTGAATTTGTGAAAAACATTGAGATCGTTCGTTATCACATGCCGTCTGTGATTCAAAAGTTGCCACAAAATCAAACCTGTTTCAACATCTTGAGCGTTGGAAGTGGGACCGGAGAAGTGGACATGGAAATCTTGAAGATTATTAAAGAAGAGCTACAACGAACGCGTGGTCGCCACCAGATAAAGATCTATAACAGAGCGATCGAGCCAAATGAATGCGCTTGCGATCTTTACAGATCTTCTGTCAAAAGGGCCAACGACCTGCAGATAGATTTCGATGTTCGCTGTCAAACCTTTCAACAGTATAAAGAGCAAGGACCTGAGAATGGAGAAGAACGCACAAAGTTTGATGTCATCCACCTGATGCACAGTATCTACTTCTTGGACATCGAAGAATCGTTAATTCATTGCATTGAGAACCAACTCAATGTCAGTGGCAGTTTATTTATTATGGTGGAGGGACCAGACCTTAGCTTTTGGGTTCAATACAAGGAACGCTTTCCTGACCGGTATGGAAAACCTGGCGATAGCTTCAAAACTGTGGAGGTGGAGAAAATATTTAAGATTATTGGGGAAGCTGGATGGAGATATGATGTCCACAACCTAGAATATCAGATCGATGTTACTGACGTCTTTGATGCAGAATCAGCTGAAGGAAATCTGCTTCTTGACTTCCTGACACACATTAAGAATTTTCGTGACACCGCAGATGAACAAGTGGTGGAAGAAAAACTGGCGCTGATTAAGGATCTCTCAACCGTTAAAGATGAAAGACGTTTTGGAAACAAGATGGAATCTCTTTTCCTTATCTATAAATAATGTTCTGATAGACTGGTATATTTCCATTTTTAAGCAGGGAACTTCCCCGGGATGCAAGAAAGACCGAGCCTCAGCTACAAAATTAGATGTTCTCTCGCATTTTATATAAAAGCATTTCTGGTGATGTTTTTAACAGCTTATTTTAGTTCAATGGACATAGGGATAGCATTTTCAATTCTTCTTTATACGATAGTGATTTTCTTTGTTTGTTGTCGTTGTTGTTGACTCATATGACTAAGGTGCTCTCTTGATTTTTTATGTTTTGATCAAGGGCGGAATAGGGCAGGGCCCAGGGAGCCTCGCCCCCGTCCCCCTTTTGTGGTTTATTAAATGTTTCAGCATTACATGTTCAATATGGAATCCAGGTATTTGCTAAATTTAAGCGTCCAGTGATGCATTAGCTTGCATCTCAGAGAACTTCAATCACAAAAATTTTCCTGGAGAAGCATGCTCCCAAATCTCCCTAGAAAAGCGCGCCGTTGGCAGTCCTGATGGGCGCTATCGCGCCCATATTGCCAATGTATATTATATCTCTAGGCTAGCCTGTGAACAGGCTCTCTGTTTGGGAGAAAAAATCATAGGCTATCTTTAGGCCCCCTCTACGATCCTCTATCACAAAATCCTCCGTCCACTCCTGGCTTTGTTCTTTGCTGTTTTGTTATTACGGTTAATTGGTCTTTGTTAAAACATCAAGATTTGGATACCGTAATTATTATAACTGAGGTTTGTGCGTTCTAAGAACGTCTGCATGGGAGGCTAACGTTTAAACGTACCGCCTAAGTTTTTTACCATTGTCCGAGCGGGTCTGAGTACCAATTCCTCTGTAGGTACTTCATGTACAGGAACGAGGACATGGATATTATTAACCGCGTCGAATTCAGGAACGTACGACTGGTCAAGGGTTTGACATTTGTTCTTTTTTATTCTTCAACAGTGTTGAAACTTGTAACTAAAGGTAAGAAAAGCTTTTCAGTACATGACATATTCATCTTAGAAGTGACGGGATTGACCGACACAGCAGAAAAGACACGGTGTATGATATTTGCAGACTGCAGACTGCAGACCACAGATTGCAGATTGAAAATTAAATGACACCAAAAATCTTCCTAATAAAGGTGACGTCTTCAAAAATATAAAATCGTGTGAAATTGAGAAAGTAGCCTTGGGAACAAGGTTGATATTTTTGTGCAAAGTTACATTGGCCTCATTCCCAAAATGCTTTTCGCTATTGTTCACCGACCCTTTATCAACTCACCCGGCATATCACTAATTGCGTTGATTCTTTATTCTTCTTTAATTATCGTGAATTGATAAGGACAAGTAGCAATGCCCACTAATGCCTGTCTAAATAAAAAAAGGTTTTTAGATTGCGAGCCGCTTCATAGGATAGATCAAGGACATTTAACACCTTTTAAATAACGTATGTCATCTTAGCAGTATTTAGGGATATGCCAAATAATGGAAAACTAACAGATCCTATCTGGACTCGACGAATTACCAGAAGTGCATTTTGAATTTCTAAATAGGCAAATCATTGCTCATACTCAAGTCCTAGTATGCAGGTGGAGCCCCTGTAGAATAGGGATTCCGGCGCTGTTTCACAGACAGACTTATAGTTTAGTTTCGTCTGTAGTGCAGGCTAAATTGCTAGACTGTTGCTATGGATTCATGAGCAAGTTTGTGACATCAGCAGACATTATTCTGCTCTAATTCAAAATGAAAAGAACAGCCAACAGCTCCTTTAGGAATGACGTCGGTGTAATTTGCGTGAAAAATATAAACTTCGCTTCTAGGCCTTACTTCTCGGAACAAGGTAATGTTGATGATGACGCCACCTTTATTACGATATTTTTGGTTTCATTCAATTTACAGTCTTGCTGCCTCATGCAGTCTGCAGTCTGCGGTCTGCAGTCTGCAAATGTCATTCACCGTTGCATTTAGACGAAGATTTATAGACTCGAGAGTACACTGTACTTTGAAGAGATCTTATTTATTGGTCTTGAAATTCGAGTTTTTGTTTGCATGGTAGCCAAGTCAATATATTCACTATTTGTGTCATCTCATGTGTGAAGTTTATTGTGTTATTGTGTAAGGGCTACTGGGGATCATTGTCGTGTTCTTTGTGACGTCGCTCGAGACTTTCTATTCACTTGATACTATCGTGCACTAGCCATTGGAAGTGGTCCAAAAAGGTCTGAGAGTCTCATAACTCAATCGGGGAATTGATTCAAGCTCGCAGGATATCAATGTTTACACCAAAATAAATGATAAAAATCACATTTGGTAACAGGGAAGCCTACTAGGACTTGGGGGTACTTGTAAGAAAACACTGTAAAAATATGTATATCAATACCAAGGTCTTAAAGTAACTAATGCATCAGTCAATTCCGAAAAAAGTGCTTATGCCTGGGAGTCACCACATGGGGGGCAGGGGAGGGGAGGCTAGGCACAGCTGGAATTGACTGATGCATAATCTTGAAGAATAAAAAACTCAATTTCAACAATATTAATTTGTGAAAACAATATGATTAGCATGTCACAAGCGTGGGACAAAGAAAAATCCAATTTGGTTTCAGGGGCATAAAATGTCAGTCAGGCATGCAGTCAAAAATTCACAGCTGCTTTGATTCTATTGCTACAAAAGCTGTTATTTTTATTCTCCTTCTTAACCCCTTAACTGCCTGTATGTCACCCTATTTGCAATTTGTCTGCATGCATGACATACTCAGTACGTCAAATATTGGAGAGTAACAGTCAAATCCCTGGCACTGGAGATGTAATGTAACCTGGCCTCTCATGCCCCAAAGAAGTCAGTAGACTGGTGACTACTAGTGCGTAGTCCCACATTTAGGAAAACCAGTTTATAGATCAGACATAAACACTTTCGTGCGCCGTCTGCCATAGTGCTTTCAAGAAGCACATTGTTGGAAGAGCAAAGTAAAATTCCTGTTCTATTTTGAATGTAGAGAGATAGGAAACTGCTCAATATGTGTTAGATGAAGTATGGATTGATTCCAGAGAAGAAAATTTTTCTGATAGTGACAGTGATTTTAGTGATTTGAGGAGCAAATGAGGATGACGAAAGTATCGACTCTCATGATTTGGAGGTGTTTGCACTGGACTTCTTCATGGGGAAAAGGTTTATTATATGAAAGGAAATAATATGCACACTTCACCAAATCTCAGAAACCATTGTGTCTAACAATCATAAGTAATCTTTTGTTCAGGAAAAAGCAACTTGAGGTCACCCTTTGCTTGTAAATCTATAAAGGAAAGAAATCACAAGGTACAGTTGTTGCTTAGAAACCTCCTCCAACATGCCGAACGTAAAGCTCCAGTACTAAGAAACACCATTGAAGGACAAATTTGCACACTTAAAAATATTATAATAAGCCTTATTCACTGTAGATAAACAAGCAAGAAATCAAATGGTAAAATTATGCTCCTAAAAAAACAAAAATTGGTTTCAAGAAACAAAAACGAATCGACATATCGTTGAGTCATCTCATAACTAGTTAATTGTGAAATGTAGAATGGATTCTGCTTTTTCACACTATTAGTCTCATTTCTGTAACCTTTTTAAGTTCAATGTCTTTCAATCTTACTGGTAACATTTCCCATTCAAATGCCAGCTGTGACTTGAAGTCACATGAAACTCCAAAAATAATACCATACGGCAAAAAAGGAAACAAGATTCTCAAGTAATAGCAGAGTAATAGCAAATGTTTGTTAACTCAGCAGATTATTGATTTGATTTGAGTTATTGTTTTGTCACTTAACAGGTTGTAGATAACAATAATAAACAAAAAAGATGGTAACTGGGAGCCTGAACTGAAAGCCTAAGGTTTATATAGGATCCAGTCTCCCCACAGGCAGCCCAGATGTAGTGTGTGTCAATAACGTGGACAAAATGGGAGGGGTTGTTGAATCTCCCATGAACTAAAATAGTCCAGAAGTCATAGCCTGTGTACAGACGTCCCCCCTCCCTCAGGAAAAACCGGGAGAGGAGACGTCTGTGAATCGCCGTTGTTAATCGTGTTCCAGTATACATTTGCACAAATTTTTTATTTTGTTTTTTCGCCGACAGTTGAAAAGGTACATGTAGGTCAAAAAATAGCTCTGGCATCTGTGCACAGGCTAGCTGAACATCTTTACGCAATGTCCACCCAAAAATCCATATATAAGATCTCTGATTACAGTCAAGCCAGGTCAAGATCCCATTAATGTATTTATTATTCGAAAGTTGAACCGTTGGTAGTTGTGGATTTCAGATTCATCTCTGTGTGCATTCTTGCATGCGTAATGAGCCGTGAATTCACACGAGATTCAGTTACAAAATTTCTACCAGCTCAGTTTCCCTGAATTTGATGTAGATGTCTTCTAAGACATTTAATCCATTCAAAGATTTTCAATCTGACCAAATGCAGAGAAGTTCTCTAAAAATATTCATTGCTCATTACGCATACAGGAATGCCGATTTCAATTTGACCCCAGTTACGGGAACGACTAACGGATTCATTTATTCAAATAATCAATTCATTAATAGAATCTTTTTGGGGTAAGCTTGACCTGCCTTGGCTGTTAACGTTGGATTTTGTATGCCGTCTCTTTTATTTACAATACCGAGGAGCAAACATCGGTGGTAACTTCTCTTGCCTTTTCAAGAGAGCCGAAATACAATTACCGGTAAACAAATGTGAATGTGCTGAGCTTTTCCCTGGGGAATCTATTCTGAGGTTCATTCACCAATCACAACACCGGAAATTATTTGCGTCATGGCATTAACAATACAACCAATCAGAGGCTGTCCCCAACATTCCAGGGAAACGGGAACACGATTTTCGTTGGCGATTCACAGACATTTCCTCTCCTGATTTTTCCTGAGGAAGGGGGGACGTCTGTACACAGGCTAAGAAGTCAAAGTGATAACAAAACAAAGCGAACATACCTTTAACTGAACATCTCCTTGTCTTTCCAGGCCTATAGTGGATAGTACCTACCAGTGCAAAACTCGACAAAATGCCACTTTAACCGGCCAGGAAAGACAAGGAGATGTTCAGATAAAGTTATGTTAGCTTTGTTTGTTATATTTTGACTTCTGGACTATTTTAGTTCATGGGAGATTTGACGCCTCATCCCATTTTGTCCATGTTATTGACACACACTAAGTCTGGGTTGCCTGTGACATAACATTGCTGAGGAAAGATGCAAACCATTTGATGTTGAAAGTGACCTCCATGAAGTTTAACTCTGTTTAGATTTTGCAAAATGTTTTCACTAAACTAGAGAATATTTTCTGTAGGAACAGTAAACTAAAATTGAACTTCTAAAAGATTTGCTGTACATGATGTATCAGAAAGGAAAACACCCATATACCAGACTTAATATCTAAATAACCATGAACACCTCTTCTTCTAGGCAAACAGTATTTATCCTTCTGAAATTGTGGCTGGTGCACCATAATTATACCAAGTGAATAGCAATTCTAAAGGTGCATCACAAAGAATGCAACAATGATGGCTATATTATCGCATTAGTTAAACTAAGTAAGCTCTCTTGGGACTGTGGGGGTGGGGGCCAGAGACCACCAGATTGAGGTTGCGTACAGGCTACAGCTCAGTGCAGACTAAAACATGAAAGGTGTACAATTTAGAGGGGCACTTTCATGGAAATTCTTGTCATGTCAAGGATGTGTTCTAAGAAGAATTTTTAAGGGAGCCCTGGGCTCTGTATCTATAAAATCCATGGCATAGAATTTCTGTGAAAAAACTAAGACTTTCATAGTCACGCAAGAACAAAAGTAAGGTGCCAAGAAGCACCTACAATCGGCAGCAAAATGAGTTGAGACACTTCGCTCAAAACTGGGCTTTTCTACCTTTTACTAACTTCAAAAGGAGGAAATATAGCTTTTACTCCCCCATCCCCTCCATGCAATGTTGTACCGATGTTCGAGCTACCTATAGAAAACAACAAACATGCCAACTTTGAATGGAGGGGACAGGGGAGGGGCGCGGATTCTTTTGTTCCCTAAGTTACCCTATTTGAGTACAATGTCTCAGCAATTTTGTCGCTGAATGTAGACAAAAATGAATGTTGGCAAAACCTCATAGCAGTGCCTCTTCAATCTGATTTAAGAAAGACAAATAATAATGCCTTTATTTTCTCTTGAAAGGGTATTTAGCGATGTCTTTAAAGTGTAAACAGTGTGGAAAGTGTTTTAGTCAAGCAACACGCCTTAAAAGACATGAAAAAGTTCATTCTGGGGAAAAGCCTTATGAATGTAAACAGTGTGGCAAGTGTTTTAGGGAAGCAGCAAACCTAAAGGCACATGAAAGAATCCACACTGGGGAAAAACCTTATGAATGTAAACAGTGTGGCAAGTGTTTTACGGCAGCAGGAAGCTTAAAAAGTCATCAAACTGTTCACACAGGAGAAAAGCCTTATGAATGTAAACACTGTGGCAAGTGGTTTAGCCGAGCAGACTGCCTAAAAATGCATGAAAGAATTCACACTGGGGAAAAACCTCATGAATGTAAACAGTGTGGCAAGAGGTTTAGCCGAACAGAACACCTAAGGAGCCATGAAAGAGTTCACACTGGGGAAAAGCCTTATGAATGTAAACATTGTGGGAAGTGTTTTAACCAAACAGCAAGCTTAAGGATTCATGAAAGAATTCACTCTGGGGAAAGGCCTTATGAATGTAAACAGTGTGGCAAGTGTTTTAGTGAAACAGGAGGGCTAAGGCTTCATGAAAGAATTCACACCGGGGAAAAGCCATATGAATGTAAACAGTGTAGCAAGTGTTTTAGCCGAGCATTATACCTAAGGTTGCACGAGAGAATTCACAATGGAGAAAGGCCTTATGAATGTAAACATTGTGGGAAGCATTTTAGCCAAGCAGGAAACCTAAGGAGTCATGAAAGGATTCACACTGGTGAAAAGCCTTATGAATGTAAACAGTGTGGCAAGTGTTTTTGGAAACCAGGAAGGCTAAGGATTCATGAAAGAGTCCACACAGGGGAAAAGCCTTTTGAATGCAACCAGTGTGGCAAGTGTTATTGTCAATCAAGGTCTCTTAGGAGGCACAAAGAAGGCCACAGCAGAAAAAGTTTGCTTAAAAGTGACAGCAGCAAGGGTCAGTTGAAACATTTGCATTGTAAGGTTAAGAGAGCAGGAAGTAGTATAAGGTCAGGATTGACTAACAACACACTGTCACAGAGAGAGACTGCCAACAGTGGTATGGAAGACCAGCAACCAGATGTCATCAAGGAACACAACTGTTGGATTTGTCAAGAGGAATTGAGTAGCGAATATCTTCTTCTTCAACATTATGAAAATCATATGAGACATGTAGGTGAAGATGGCTCTTAAATTTGATGAGTGTTTTAGTATTTAGGTTGTGTTAAGTCTCCTTTTGGTTCTCTAAGATTTTGTCAAGATTTTAACTGTAAGCATGACTTTGTTTTGTTACTAGTTTAGTAAATTGTTTCAGGGAAGATTAATCAGCATCTAAACCTCCTTTAGCTTTCGTTAGAATGGATACTATATAACTTTGTTTCCTGTGAAAGGAGGAGCAGAGCAAGTTTGTCCCCTTTGTTTTGGTCAGGTGACCTATGAAATGAGAGGAAATAGAATGCTTCCTTAATGCACCAATTCAGGCTAAAATGTTAGGGTCTGAGGTGTAAATCTAAGCGTAATAGTTGATGAGAACACATGACCACCCCCCCACCCACTCCCTGTTGTTTTCTTAGGTTATTGATAATCCAACAAAAAAAGGTTGGTCAGAGGTATTAAGAACTTAGGCTTAAATTTTTGAAGTGATATATCAAGAATGAGACACAGTGTTTCATCACCAGATAAAACACTGAGAAGAGAGTTGAAAATACAACGCGACAAACTTTGAGGTGATTCATCTGGTGATGAAACACTGTGTCGAATGCTTGATATTACTTCTCAAACAAAATTATTTTAGAAGGAGAAATTAAGGATGGAAAAATGACCACTTTTTCATCTGATCTCTAAACACTCATTAAACATTAATTTATTTTGTATTAGCCTGAGAAAAAGATGACACATCACTACCCAGATCTAGGTTGTGCTTCTAATTGGTCATGCTGCATGGGAAATTTGATTTAACCAATCAGAAGCACCACCTGGATCTGGGTAGTGATGTGTCATCAGTATGGAATTTCTACGCTCGTTTCTCCGATGTCATTTGGCGGGGAAAACGGTGGTAGTGAATATCAGCTGTTTTCACAGGCTAATTTTGTATTGTCTTTATGAATTATTAATGAGTTTGAGAATTAAAAGTCAAACCCTGTTAATATGGACACTGATGCTAGTAGAGAAATTGTGCAGGTTGAATCTGCCCATAAGAGTTATCAATTGGATCCGAGATTTCCTTTCTAATCGTTCCCAAAGAATCAAACTATCTGAGGGCTGTTACTCCGAGTGGGGTTCAGCGCCCTCCGGGGTCCCTCAGGGAACAAAATTAGGCCCGTGGCCATTTCTTGTACTCATAAATGATTTAGATGTTGTTAATTTGCATGTGTAGCTAATGTATGGAAGTACCTTAATGATATGACCGTTTCAGAAGTCGTTGCCAACAGCAACCGAAGTTGTGCCCAGGAGATCGTGGATAAGGTTGCGGAGTGGTCTACGCAGAATAGAGGAATAGAGTCATACCGTATTTATTTGATTAACCGCCCTGAGCGCTTATTAAATTTTTGGGCCTTGAGATTGGGCACTTATTCGAGGTGGGCGCTTATTCGAGGCTGGGTGCTTATTAAATTTTCACCATTTTCAGCAAGTGAAGTATGTTTATTTTGCAACAAAACAATAAATGCTAATGACAAAACGCAAAGAAGTAACAAAGCAAGGTTTCTGTAAAATACTCTGAAGAAACTTCGTCCTCGGGGAAGTCTCTGATTAGAATTTATTCACTCAAGTGGCTGGGGTGGGGGGGTGCTTATTCGAGGCTGGGCGCTTATTAACTTTTTCTGCCTTTAGGATGGGCGCTTATTCGAGGTGGGCGCTAATTCGAGTTTGGGTGCTTATTCGAATAAATACAGTAATCAATAGCGACAAGTGTAAGGAGCACAGGATATCTTTTGTAAAGGATGAGCCCCAGTTTGCACCTGTTGGTAATGAACCAGAGAGAGTGACTAGTGCTAAACTACTAGGTCTGACCATAGTTAACTAAAGTGGAATGGTTGGAAAACCCTTTGTTATAGGTTTTTGTTAGCTTTTTTGGACCTGAACGTGCACAACGTTCAATAGCATTCTTATCATTTCGAAGTTATTGACCAGTGGAACATTGCATTAATTTATTCAGTCATAATTTGTGAACAGAAAAGATTGTTCATGGTCAGGGAGTTTCCAACATAGCCTACAGCACCATTGTTTTCAACTTTGATGTTTGCAGGGTTTCCTAACCAGTCTCCTCTACTAACCATGGTCTGACCTTATCAAACAACCTTACGTGGAACGAACATATTAATGACGTCATCAAGAAAGTGTCTGTGTTTTTTAGTGCAGTTAAAAAGATCAAGCGTTCCTCGGCAGGATATGTACATTTTTAACACTGCTTTTAACAGATCCAGTCGGCCCCTAAAGTATACCGTGACAATGGGCCGTTTGTAGACGTTTTATGACTATGTTATCTTTAACTAGTACTACCATTTATAATTAATTAATTAATGAAGTAATACTTTTTATCTAAAATAACTACAATGTATTTTGTCACCATATTCCTTACACTCGTATTCTTGTTTTGGGTCACTTACTCGCTTCGTTCTATGAATTATTTACGTGTCCCAAACTCTGCACAATAAAGCTAAAATTAAAAATTTTATTTTCCTTCACGATCGTTTATTTTTATATTTAAAAGCACTGATTTGTATTAATTAATATTCTGTGTGAGTTAAAATAAAAATTTACTCGACTTGACTTGCAGACGGACGTTTATAAGCATTAGGTCCCATCGGCCTAAACCCCCTTGGACACCTTATGAAGTTTATAAATGGTACTATTCCTTATTACTTCAGTTTCAAGCACTGATTGTGGTGATCAGGGTAAGGATTGATTTCCACCGTCGCGTTATTTTTACGTGGGTACGTGCGTAAAATCTACCTTCGAAAATAAAATAGAGGCAATGCATGAACGGTCACTCGTAAGCGTAAAAGCTGCATCTTGCTTAACTTCACGTTTACTGCGCTTTTCACAAACATGCGAACTCTAAAGTTCAAAAGCCGCCTTCACAATTGCGTTTTTCGCTGCCGTCAATCAAAATTACGATCACAAGCAACGAACCTTGAAACACAGAAACACACAAAACGGATCGAAATCCACCAATCACAAATCATAACCCGTTAAAGTAAAGTTTTGTTTCCTAAGAGGTCCGTTAAGATGATTGACGGCAGCGAAAAACGCAATCGTCAGTAGGCTTTTGAACTTCAGAATTCGCATGTTTGTGAAAAGCGCAGTAATCTGAACACTTTACGTGATTAAAACTTACGTGCGTTAACGTGCGTAGCCAAAAACGCGTCAGTGGAAATCAACCCTTAGGCACTGATTCAGGTTACAGTGCTGAAAATAGTGATAAGGGTTAAGCACTAGCGAGAATCGGTTAGTCGGTTCTTGGCTCTTCCAAACTGTTAGCCTAAACTGTGGCGAAATGCTTTTCACAGTGCTTAAAATGAAGTAAAGCGCACTATGAAATATGGGGCTCACTTGCTTGGATCTGAGTCATACTAGAGGTAATCACACGAACTTTTTTTTTCAAACGATTGATCTCGATGCACCATAATTTACCTTTAAATTACTTCAAGCCCTACGGTTCATCTACAATAGGCCAGGTCCCCGGCCCCTCACATTTACAGTTTAACACTTTCAGGTCAACTTCAGTAAAATAGGAATCATGAATGTCAAGAAAGTCTCGAGTTGTTTTTAAAAGTTCCCATTTCTGGTGGCTTTATAGTTACACCTCCATAAAAATGTGTGTGCGATTAGAGAAGTCCAAGAGCACCAACGAGTTTATTTATGACTAGGCATGCCACAGGCAACCCAGTAATAAGACATCCCTAGTTTGTAATTCCCTCCCACAGTGGAACCTCTACTTCGGGACACCTCTATTCAAGGGACAGAAAATTTGGTCCCAGAAAAATGTTTTACATAATCTTTGTATTTGTTACATCTATAGAAGGGACACCTCTATTCTTGAGAAACGAACACTTTTTGTGGGTTGCGAAACCCCCAGGGGGGGTACTCAACAAATGTTTATGGGAGGAGGCTCCGCCCGACGTCCAACCCCTCACCCTTGCTTTTATATACCATTTTTCACGAAAAAGATACCAATTTCGTATACCGTACCTTCTATTGACAAATGGTACCCCTTTCGTTTTTAAGTGCTGTCAATGCACTGTCCTTAAAATAGGAATCAATAACAAAAACAGCATGTTTTCTCAACTTCATAAAGTCCTAAAATTCATCTACTAGCCCATTAATTTGGGCCCTTTCACAGACCCAAATGAAATATTCCCCTCCCCTTTTATATACTTCAACTAGTGAAATCCCTACCCTTTCATATTCCTGAACTGAAAAAGATACTCCTTTCAGGCGTAACCTCCCCGTATACGGCATCTTATTAAAAGACTACCACCCCCAGCCCCCAAACCTCGTCCCCAGGGCGCTTTTCCCTGGCCAAAGCCAAAGCAAGGGAAAAGCGCCCTGGGGACAAGGTTGCAACCCCCCGGGCCCGAAACCCAGGTTTTAACTCCATTTAGGGGACACCTTAGCACTCAAACAGTGACTGACCACAAAATCATTGACGAGTTTTTCTGAACTTCAAGTGTACACTAGTCACAGTGGCAAAATCTTAATAAACATGAATTATCTTATCTAAATCGATGTAGTAAAGATGAAGGAGGCCATTTTCCCCGAAACTTCGTGTGCATATTGAGGACCCGGGGAGGGTACTCCCATACATTTCCTATACGCGTGTGTGCCGCCCAACGGGGTCGTGATTTTGAAGCTCCTGATTTAGAACGGGGTATCCATTTCAGAGGCGTTTTCTAGAACGGGGTATGATATTTCGAACGAACGAAAGCTCCAGTTTTGTAAGCAGCCATTTGAAATTATTCAAGGACAAATTGCTTTTAAAAATACGGTTCAATGCGTTAACAAACAAACTGTTGTACTCCTGTTGCCAACCTCGTCCCCAGGGCTTTTCCCTGTGTTTTAGTGTGCAAGGTGCGGGCGCGGGCGTGTTTTGGCGCGAGCCGCGAGCGCTGACTCCGCCATCTTGGATTATGAAGAAGCATTTATTTGATGTATAAGTCGAACAAATAAAGAAACATCTTTTAAAAAAACAAGGCCATTTCAATTTATAAACTTTCTAGAACGGAGTATAAAAAATTGGCCCATTTCTGGACCGGGGTATCAGTTTTAGGGCGAATTCTAGAACTGGGTGTAAAAAATTGGCCCATTTCTAGAACGGGGTACCAATTTTAGGGGAATTTTTTTTAGAACGGGGTGGCAATTTGGAGTCCCGGGCGGCACATGTACCCACCCAAAAAATACCCTAGTGCCCCCCCCCCGGCATTGAGAACAACAACAACTCGCCACATGGTAAGTTTCATCCATTTCCGGTCCATTCTTTCCCTCCGAAAAAAGCGTCTGCGAAGGCCGCAAACGGTCGTCGCTTCTCCCGAAAAATATGTTTTCTTCATGTTATATGAAATAGGGCTCTTGAAAAAATTTTTCGGAGGGTACGTGACAAATAGTGGGCCTGGGTTCCATTTTCTAGCTGCCCCATATGTTTTCTTCATGTTATAAAAGTCCAGTTTGAGACCCGAATTGACAAAATTACCGCTGAATACAAACATTAACGACACATTCACACAGGGTTAGCCTCGACGTAAAGTAAAATATTCAGAAATTCCGGCAGGTAAGTGCTTGAAATTTGAATTTACACAATAGACAGAGTAATAAACAGATCTTTTTCTCGTTGGAATTTGTGAATATATTACTTCAGATGGAGGCTAAGGCTGTAAAAAATGCGTCTTCACCTCTTCAATTCAGCGGTCATAGCGAACTCGAAACTGGACTATTACATTTTTTGTTCTGAAATAGGGTCAGAATTTGGAGAACCGGGCGGCACACCCCCACCAAGAATACCTAGGAGTACCCCTCTCCCCCAGGGTTGGCGAACTGCATGCCTATTGGCCGAGTAAGACTAAGTTCTTCTTCCTCAGTTGGTACTTCGTGTACGGTACATTGATACAAAACGCCATTCGCAGTTCGAACTTGTTTGTTGTGCAACACTGCTGAGTCCTTCTTAATAAAGGTAAGAAAAGGTTTCACTTTTTTACATGTACATCTTAAACTGACTTCAGTAGCAGGATTTATCGACAGCAGAAAAGACAAGCTTTTAGCCCACGAATGAATAAAATGACGGCTACCCAAGCGGTATTTGTGATATTGTTGATTGATTGAGCAGGAGAGGTAAGCATATTTCAATAGACTTCTGCGTCATTTCTGAGAATATCTGTTGAGAATTTACGCGAAAGTTAACTTTACACAAGTGCCTCGTAAGGAGGACTCTTCGATGACTATCAGTATGTGATGGTTATTTTACACTGAAACGTTTTATGATGAGTTAAAAACTTTGGATAACTTTGAATAACTGCAATCAAGGTCTCAAAGAACTCTTCTGCACCCTTTGATTTAGACTGAGGCTACATTTCGGAGTACAGGGATTACACTGTAATTTAAACCTGTTTAGCCTAAAATTTGAAAACATTCCAATGAAAAAATTCTGTACACTTGGGAAAATAAGATAAGGGGTTACAAGACATGTACATGTAAGTTCTGTTCTCAAGGACTTCAAATTCATGTGGTGACTGCTTGACTTCTAAACCATGGCCCACAGAGGACATTCCAACATTTTTTCTTTATCAGTTATTGCATGATAATTATTCAGATATTGTGTGATAAACTTAGGAATTATTGGAAAATATTAACTTCCAGGCGGAGTATAGGGTTGGACGCCTATTGACGCCCACACAAAATAGTTACTTTTATTAAAGTGCACCTTACCCCAAAATATATTTTTCGCTAAAATAAATCTTTACTCCTGTTTGAAAGACACTGAGAATTTTATCCTGTTTTCCACCAAATGTTGACTTTTTATAAGCTTCAAAACTGAGCCTTATTTGGTTCATGAGATAAAAAAGGAAATTTCACCATAAGTGAGAGGGATAACTCTATACCCCACTTGGGAGTTAACTTCATCCCAAATTATCTTGTGATAAATTAAAACTTATCACATGACCAACCTTTCTTCAAAGAAGAACAATTCACAGAGAAATCTGAGTGGGAAATCCGAAAAAATGATAAACAGTTTAGAAAGTTTGTTGTCAGATTATAACTTTGGACTTAGACTACTGGATCTCAAACAAAAGCAAAAAACTTAAGAGAGACTCTTACCTTTCATTACTAGATATAACCCTGCAGAACAAACTTAAAAAGATCATAATGGCAAACTTGAGTATACCGTATTTCCTCGAATAAAAGGGGTGATTAGTTATTTTTTTTCCACCAAAAGCAGGTGCGTAGCCAGGATTTTTCCTGGGGAGGGGAGGTGAGAGGTTGGCTCTAGAGTTGGAGGAGAACAGAGTCAATGAAGCTTAAAAAGAGCATTTAGGGACTTTCCTGACATATGATGACAAAACTCGTTTTTATCTTTAGTGGTGATAAACAACAACTGTAAAAAGCTTCATTGCTCTTATAATTAAAACGCACAAAGTCCTGTAGATACCTTTTATCATAACTGTGGTAGTTAGGAGTCCTCAATTGATTTATGTTTGTAAACTATTGTTAGTATTTTTAATTTTTGATAAATCAATATTTTAATAATGTTTGCGTTGTACATAACAAATTAAATATTTTTGGGCTCATCAATATCTCCAGCTGTGCCTCTTTAATCTAGCTGGATTTACAGTAAGGAGCCAAAAAGTGTGACCCCTTTTGAATTATTCACATTCTCTCGTACAGATTTAATCCAATCAGAAGCCAGCTGAAAGCTCTCCTCCACTTCTGATTAGTTTATGTCTGCATGAAATAATGTGAGTTAATGAAAGGAGGTCACACTTCAAAGTTGAATAATTCAACTTTCTTAAACTGTTTGTTACAGCAAAGAACCCAAAAGTGTGACCTCCTTTCATTATAATAATTGTCTTTATTTTACTTTGAAGGGTTGCAACAGAAGCTACACTCCATGTCTTTTAAGTGTAAACAGTGTGACAAGTGTTTTGACCTAAAATCAAGTCTAACGCGGCATGAAAGAGTTCACACTGGAGAAAAGCCGTATGAATGTAAACAGTGTGACAAGTGTTTTAGCCTAAAAGGAAGTCTAAGGCGTCACGAAAGAGTTCACACTGGGGAAAAGCCATATGAGTGTAAACAGTGTGACAAGTGTTTTAATCAAGCAGGAAGCCTAAGGGTTCACCAAAGAATTCACACTGGGGAAAAGCCCCATGAATGTAAATGGTGTGGCAGATGTTTTAGTCATGCAGGAAGCCTTAGGAGTCATGAAAGACTTCACACTGGGGGAAAGCCTTTTCAATGTAAACAGTGTGGCAAGTGTTTTATTGCAGCAGGAACCCTTAAGATTCATGAACGAATTCACACTGGGGAAAAACCTTATGAATGTAAACAGTGTGGCAAGTGTTTTATTGAAGCTGGAAAACTTAGGATTCATGAAAGAGTTCACACTGGGGAAAAGCCTTATGAATGTAAACAGTGTGGCAAGCGTTTTACTGAAGCAGGAAAAGTTAGGAGGCACGAAAGAGCTCACACTGGGGAAAAGCCTTATAAATGTAAACAGTGTGACAAATGCTTTAGTCAAGCAGGAAAACTTAGGAGGCACGAAAGACTTCACACTGGAGAAAGGCCTTATGAATGTAAACAGTGTGGCAAGTGTTTTAATGATGTAGGAAACCTAAGGTGTCATGAAAGAGTTCATACTGGGGAAAAGCCTTATAAATGTAAACAGTGTGAAAAGTGTTTTAACCTTAAAGGAAGTCTAAGGCGGCATGAAAGAGTTCACACTGGAGAAAAGCCATATGGATGTAAACAGTGTGACAAGTGTTTTAGCCTAAAATCAAGTCTAAGGCGTCATGAAAGAATTCACACTGGGGAAAAGCCCTTTGAATGTAAACAGTGTGGCAAGTCTTTTAGCCGAACAGGACTCCTTAAGATTCATGAAAGAGTTCATGCTGGGGAAGAGGCATATTAATGCACACAGTGTAGTAAGTACTTTAGCCGGTCAGGAGACCTAAGGAGACATGAAAAGGTTCAAGCTGGGAAAAAGCCATACGAATGTAAACAGTGTGACCAGTGTTTTTAGCTTAAAAGGATATTTAAGGGGTGTGAGTGGTCATAAAACTTCTACTCGCCATAATCCTCTCTCTACTACTAAACCACTCTTAGTATTATACCTTTGATGTGCCGAACACAGCAATCTGCTCCCGCTTTTAACGTGAATCAAAGCTGAAAACAGTTCTGTCCCTGGTGTTTTCTTTGCGTGTCCTATGAACCGATGCACAAAATCAGGTTAAATAATTAGGTATTATTATTGTGTTATTATAACTTGATAATCTAACTAGAAATGTTTGTCAGGGGTACAAACCAGCACTTGAATCAAAATATTATTAATTTTGTTTCTTACTAACAACTTCTCCAGAAAAGATGGGTTTCATTCTTTAGTAGCAGTGGCGGATCCAGGTGAGGGACCCCGGGGGGCCTGGACGTCCCCTTATTTTTAGACCAAATCAATCATGTAGACCCTAAGGTAGGGGGGGGCAAAAATTTTTTTTCAGACTGCCCCCCATTATCTTAGGGTTTGGATGATGGCTACCCCCCCCCTCTTATCTGAAGGTCTGGATCGCACCACTGAGTAGGACCCTTTGCATCAGACTCCTTTGTTGTGATTTCAGTTGCTTGAAATCTACTTTGTCCTTTTTTGTGGTTTCAGTTGCTTGCATTTAAAATATTGTCATTACAAAATGTAAGTAAGTAATTCAATATGACTGATGAGTGTGATCTGTCTGATGTAAACTTCGACCATCTTTATTGAAATTCTTGCCTGATTTCGTACGGTTGTCGGTTTAATATTGATTTAAATTGTTGTAAGTAAGCAAGTGGAGTGCCATAACATGAAGAAGCGTCACTTGTTGTATCAAAGAAATAAGCACGACTTAGTTATGAAAACAATGCGCAGTAACCAGCATATCATGGTGGTTTTGTTGGGCACATTACTGAGGGGTGGGCTTCGAAGCGGCGAGAAAACCACTCATGATTCTTATTTTGTCATTGTTATTTTTGTTGTTATAAATAGTTTGTACGCAAAAAAGTGCTTTAAAATTAGAATCAGTAATAGTGTGTAAAGCTGTCTGTTCTGAATAGTTTAATAATACGAAAGGAAGTCCTTCCGACAATAGATTGATCATCTGCCAATCTGTAGCCTGTTCCCAGACCCTCTATTTTCTCTTCAAAGTCCGTTGGGCGTGTGATAAAAAATAAAAGCCGCGGGGGATTTATTGACCGCCAGTGCAAGGGGGTAGTAGTGGGGTAAGAAGAAAATAGATCAGTCCTAGTCATGTTTATTTTTCTTTCAAAAAGAATGAAAAGAAAAATAAGGCAACGTCTTTGTACAGGCCAGCCAATTTCCAGTGAAATTCTCCATATTTAGTCGTTAATATTAGGATTGTGCGTGTCAAAAGTTCAGTGGGGTGGTCCCGAGGTAGCCAAATCCCCTGGCCTCCGGGCCAAAAAAATTTGCTAATGCCCCACCCCCGGGACTAACAAGGTAGGCAAATGAGGGCGGGTGGATGGGCGCAGCTGGAATTGACTGATGCATCAAAACAACTTGTGTCTTTTTCCCAAGCACTAAAATTATGATATTTATTTGGTCACAATCCGTGAGCAAGGATTGTGTACCATGAGGAAGCCACCAACATATATAAACTTCAGCACTGTTGTTTTTATCTTTGAAGTTTGTCTTCTTTTAGGGCATTTTTTTACATTGTTCTCATATTTTGGGTTTTGGTAAAAATCAAACAGATTTCTGAAGTCGTTAATATCCGGGACTTTGGAAAAACAGGTCTGGCATGCGGTTAATTGAACCAGCGATCTTTCGCTCAGCTTACCGAAGCTTTACAGCTAGTTGGACAGAGACTAAAATGATTTCAGAAAAAAGGGCACTAAAATTAAAGTATCCAACGAAATATTCATTGGGTCCTTTTGTGCCCAAGCAATCATCTCATTTTTATTTTCTAAATAGCTGGACAATTTCTCTACCTTTGTAGCTCTATCAAATGGACTTTAGTCCTTGAAAATCATGAATTCTTTCTTCTTGAAACTTTTTAAAACTCCTTTCGGTTCGATAGCCCTAAGATTATGCCCTTATTTTTACCCTCGCGTACTTCAGGGCTCTTATAAACGATGCTTATTTTTTTTCTCTTTGCTCGTTTGGGTTACATTAAATGTATTTTACTATCCCTGGCCCAATCAGGGTCTGTTCTAAAATATAAATTTTTTGATGAAATTACATAATGGCGCATCAACCTCGTTCCCAGGGTTTTTACGAGGCTCGGCACACATACTTTTATGACTAGTTTTATAAGCCCTACATATTTTTTCTCTTCTTTCCGACGACATATTACTACAGTTTTGCCTCAGCGTCAGAAAAGCTGGAAAAGGCAACGCACGCAATCGAAAAAGAAATATTATTCTCTGTATGGTATAGCGAGGTTATCCTTGTAAGTGAATGTGTTTATTGGCGAAAAAAACGGGTCCATTATTGGTAGTTTCGAAAACGAAGCACTCGAAAACGATTATTGCATTAAGAGATGTCCGTTTTAGCGCGCAGTTTTCCAAAGCTCATGCACGTTGTACGTGCCTAAGATTTTTACCATTGTCCGAGCCAGTCTGAGTACTAATTCCATGGTAGATACTTCATGTAGGGTTATGATGGGGAATATACTGTTTGTAGGTCACGTCGGTTGATTCCCGTAATAGCGCTGAAAACTACCAAAGGTAAACAAGGCTATTTAATGATGTATACATATTAGAATGGTTTAATGACAGGATTAGTCGATACAGCAGAAAAGACGAGCTTTTAGCCCACATATAAATGACAGCTTCCCTAGTCTAGTCGATTTGTGTTACTTCAAAATTTTTCAATTGCCTTTTGGTTATTCGTACAGGACCCCCGTAAATCGACTTGTATTTGCTGTTATTACGGGATTCTGACTATATTGATTAGGGTTAAGCACAGACGTGATATGGTTAGCTTCTTTTTAGGGTTAGGGTAATCTGCTGTCGTGTGGGCTATTAAATTTGGACATCAGATGATGTGAAAGATTTTAGAGCTTTTAAAAAAGATAGCAAATACTTTGACATAGTCCCTCGAGTGCACACTTCAGAAAATGGTAAATGACTTGTATACCTGCCAACTTTTTCTGAGATGTAGGCGTGAGATTTTTATCCTGGGAGTGCTGGGGTTTTTGAAAACGACACGACACGAAGATGTCCGAAGTCTGCCGAAGGCGAAGTTATCGAGAAAACGCTTATCCTCAAAATCAGAGATCGCGGGTCTGAATTAACATATTTTTGGAAATTGTGTCAAGCAAGACGGCAACAACTCACATTTTTCAATCAGGCGTGAGAAATTGGTCCGCAGGCGTGAGCGGGCGTGAGATCGAAGTTTTCAACCCGCAGGCGTGAGACTCACGCCTAAGGCGTGAGAGTTGGCAGGTATAGACTTGTTCTCTCCAAGTAGACTCTATGTAGAGGCGGGGGGGAGGGTAGAGGGGAGGGGGCAAGCATTACATAGTCCCTCGAGTGCACTCTCAGAAATTGGTAAATGAAGCATGACCCAGTCTGCAGAGTGGCAAGTGTACACATGAATTTTTTTTAAAGATGGAATCCATCAGGAAATGGAGTAATTTCAATTTTCAGTGGCAAAAACCCCTTACCAGAATAATTTAAACAATATCGCATTCTTTTTTACATTTTTTAAGGGCTATAGATGTAATTAGTTATCTGTAATGACACCAAAGACTATTTCTCATAGGAGCCCAATAAAATAAAATTATGTCAAATTTCACAAGAATTGTGAAAACACAGGTAAAATTCCTTAAAGTTCCTAAGGTTCCTAAAATTCGTAAGGTGTCCTTTTCTGAAATTTGATATTTATTTGTATGTGTTTAAGAACTGATGTTTTTAAAATAAATTATTGCCTGAATATTCGGTTTATAATCTGGTTTCTTTATGTGTTCCACTCCATAACATTTGTTTTGCGGTGACCTGATGCTACGTGAATGAATTAGTTCATTTGCTGATATGGAATATTGAAATTTATGCTCAATTTAGAATAATCTTTATACTCATATGCTGTGTGTTTTTGTCACCGGTCAGGCACTATTTGCAGGTATTTCATAGTTTATATAGGGCAAACGGAGAAATCAGTGATAAAAGGTTTGTTTATAAATTTTTTTTGCTGATCATTGACTGCTTTGTTAGTGTGGGTGCATAAAAGACCTCGTAAAAATACATGTAGGTAAATGTTTGTTTCAAACCGGGACGGGGTTGTAAATCTTATTCTAATCAGCTGCAACATATATCTGAGGAATAGCAAAGAATAATATGTATTATGGGGATATATAAGATCAAACCTGGCAAAACTTGTTTTTGTCTTTGGTTATGGTAAACAACAACTGTAAAAAGCTTCATTGCTCTTATAAAATAAACAAAACAAATGTAATTTTCTAAGGTACTTTTGTTTGTTTACACCCCACACTTGTCCATATAGCCGTTATTGTTCAAGTTATGGTGTCAGTAACTCTCTGTAATGATCCTCAGTTCATTTCCCTGTGAGCACAATCTCTGAGGGTGGAGCGGGGGTGGGCTCTGGGGTTGGGGGGAACTGAATCAATGAAGCTTGAAAAGAGCATTTTTAGGAACTTCCCTGGTATGTGATGACAAAACTTGTCTTTGGTCGTGGTAAACAACAACTGTTAAAAGCTTCATTGCTCTTATAAAATAAACAAAACAAATGTAATACCTTTTTAAGGTACTTTGTTTTTATCACAACTTTAGTAGTTAGGTGTCCCCAATTACTTGACATTTGCAAACTATTGTTAGTATTATATTAACCACACAAATATTATAATAATGTTTGCATTGTACATACCAAGCAAAATCCTTTTGGGCTTATCAATATCTCATGGCTGTGCCTCTTTTATCTAGCTGGATTTAATGGTTTAACAAAGTTGAATAATAACGTCTTTATTTTATGTTGAAGGGTTGCAACGGAAGCGACACTCCATGTCTGTAAAGTGTAAACAGTGTGGCAAGTGGTTTAGTCAAACAGGAAGCTTAAAAACTCATGAAAGAGTTCACACTGGGGAAAAACCTTATGATTGTAAACAGTGTGGCAAGTGTTTTAGCCGAGCAGCACACCTAAGGAATCATGAAAGAGTTCATACTGGGAAAAGCCTTATGAATGTAAACAGTGTGACAAGTGTTTTAGTCTTAAAGGAAGTCTAACAAAGCATGAAAGAATTCACACTGGACAAAAGCCATATGAATGTAAACAGTGTGATAAGCGTTTTAGACTAGCATTTCAGCTAAAGTTTCATGAAAGAGTTCACAGTGGGGAAAAGCCTTATGAATGTAAACAGTGTGGCAAGTGTTTTAGTCAAGCAGTTCAGCTCAGGAATCATGAAAGAATTCACACTGGGGAAAAGCCTTATGAATGTAAACAGTGTGGCAAATGTTTTAGCCAAGTAGGAAGCCTTAGGAGTCATGAAAGAATTCACACTGGGGAAAAGCCATATGAATGTACACAGTGTAGCAAGTGTTTTAGCCGATCAGGAGACCTCAGGAAACATGAAATGGTTCACACTGGGGAAACGGCGTACGAACGTTAACAAGGTTTTTGGCAATCAGGAAACTTAAGAAGTCACAAGAAAGTCCACAGAAGGAAAATATTGCATAAATGTACCAGTAACAAAGGTCTGTGGAGGGCAGGATTGACGTACAGCACACTGTTACTTCCTCAATTGAAGCATTTTTAATGTATTTTTTTGTTTCAGTTGACGTCTGCCTTCGTTATAACGCTATTTTGTCATTGTTATTATCTTGTTACAAGTAGTTCGTGGGCAAAAAATGCCATAAAATTAAAATCAGTAATAGTGTGTAAAGCTATCTGTTCTGAATAGTTTAATAATACGAAATGAAGTTCTTCCTATAATAGATTAATCATACATGATCATAAAAGTATTTAGATCATTCCCCCTAAATTTTATAAAAGGCTCTATCCTAGATCAAACGAAATTTGGTTGAATCAAAAGAAGTCGATTCACGGACGTCGATAGCTCCCTAGCTCTCCCTATTTCGCAGTGTAAGTTCTGTGTTGATAAGCAATGATTGCTCGATCTGGTAATGTGCTTGCAGTTACCAGTAAAATCCTCTATATCTAGTTGTTGAAGGATAGAAAACCACGTGCGTGTTAAAAGCTCGGGGGTGGCCCCGGGGTACCCAAATGCCCGACCTCCCGCACGATCCCCCAAAATTTGCATAAACATTGAATTAAAAAGAAAAAAAAAAGTCGCAGCTTCAAAAAAAACTGGTATCTTTTACTTACGCAATAGTAAAATTACAGTATGATATTTGTTCAGTCACAATCCGTAAACAAGGATTGTGCACCGCCTGGGAGCCACCAACATGTATAAACTGCAGCACTGTTGCTTTTATCTTTGAAATTTGCCGCCTTTCAGGGCATATTTCTACATTGTTCTCATTTTTTGGTTTTTAGTAAAAACCAAACAGATTTTCTGAAGCGCTAATATCCAGGTTTATAAAAACAGGTCTTTTGTTGCTGGTCCTGCCTGCGTGCGCTTTGAACCCACTGGGCGATTTTTTGCTCATTTGGACCGAGACTAAAACGATTTCAGAAAAAAAAGCACTAAAATTACATTATCAAGCGAAATACAACCGCTTAATCAGGTTAACTAATTTCATTAGGTCTTTTTGGGCCTAAACATTCATCTCATTTTTGTTCTCTAAATAGAAAAAAGGGGCGTGGTATCTGCATATTAAGTGGGTGTCCATAAAGCCGGGTTTAACTTAGGGCCTGTTTACATGGAGGTGGGGGACCCCAGGTAGGTGAGGTAACCCGCTTAGGTGGGGTAACCCGCCTGTCCATATAATCTCTCATTTTCATTTGATCACGTTTACATTATAGGTGGGGTGACCCGCCAAGGCGGGTAGCCCGGTCTACCAGACCGGGTTACCCTCTCAGCCGGGGTCACAATTTTTCATGTAAACGTTTCAAGGTGGGGTAACCCGCCTGGCCGGGGTCGGATTCGTGATACATCAAATTCGCGCAAAATTCGCTTTCGCGGTGTCTTTGCATTATGATTAAAGTTAACAATAGAAAGCTATTGCACTGACGGGTTGCAGCAAGAGCAACAAGTGAGTGAAGAAGTGCATTAATCGCCAAAATTCGTGGTTTGCCAGCATTTTTCTTGTTTACGTGCTTAGCGACCATTCAATAATCTTGAGAAAGTGCACCCCGGGAAGGCGGGGTTGTAAGATTGCATGTAAAGGAGGGTTATTTTTTTACCTCACCTAAGCGGGTTACCTCACCTACCTGGGGTCCCCCACCTCCATGTAAACAGGCCGTTAGCCTGCGTAGCATGGTGGTTTTGGTTGGGCGCGCTAAGTAACAAAGGCGGGTGAGGGCAGAGAAACCGCGAGGAGACAAAACCGCCATGCTACGCAGGCTAGGTTTAACTGTACACCGAAAGAAAACAATTTTTTTAAAATAAGAGTATATCTGACTAAGTGTCCCCTAGTACCCCTTTTGATTCACATAAAAACTGAGTAATTCTCTTTTTTGTAAATTCTACTAAGGCTCAATAAATTTGCTTCTTGAAATCTCAGTGCCACTCTGCTCACTGTCACTGGTTCTGTAAGGATATTTGACACTCCGACTTCTTCGAAAAAGTGGGAAACACTGCACTGGTGAGTAACGTACCAGTATTGATCATGGCACTGACTGCAGTAGATATGGGGAATGAAAGTCTTCTGCCGCTTTGATCCTGGTACTAGCTACTCCGTTCTCCTGAGCACAAACAGACGTTTCTCCTCGCTCATCGCTGTTATAGTATGCTTTATGTCAGGGACTGGGCCCGAGTTTGGTGTCTCTTTGGGCCCGCCATCTTGCTACTTGTGTGTATTAAAAGGTTGTGTTCATCTATCCGTTCTCTCGTGTCACATATCATAGTTTATCCAGGATACTTTAACATGGTGGCAGCAGTGGGATGATTCTACACGCCGAGTGACGTTTTGACTCATAAAACATTGAGGTGAACCCGATGAACCAGGATTACTAAGTCAACCATTCGTAGCGTGCAGCCGAGTATCATCGCAATTCTACCGGCCGACACAGTTTTCTCACAAACATGGGCGAGCTTTCGGGAATTAAGCCGCCTCAGATGGAATGGAATGACTCTGACTTACCCATGGCATTTAAAAGCTTCAAACAATATTGCCAGCTAGTCTTTGATGGGCCTTTGAACGCGAAAGAGGACAAAGTCAAGGCAACCTATATTCTGCTCTGGATCGGCGAAGAGGGCCGGAAAATCTTTAACTCTTTTGACTTGACCGCTGATGAGAAAGCGAAACCTGACGCAATTTTTGACAAGTTTGCAACATATCTGGAACCTAAGTCAAATTTTCGGATTGCAAGATACCAACTACAAGGCTTCAAACAAGCTGATGATGAAAGTGTAGATTCGTTCATGGCCAGGTGCAAAATACAAGCCCAGAAATGCCGATTCAGTGACGCCGAACTAGAGGAGCGGTTAATTGAGCAATTAATTATTGGTACTCGCGAAAGAAAGATACAAGAAGTCCTCTTAGGAAAAGATGATAAGTTAAAGCTTGACAAAGCCATGGACATTGCCCGGACAAGGGAAGCTACGGTAAATGATATGAAATCCCTTGACCAACAAGGTGCGTCAGCACCCGCTCGTTCTCATGACACTAACGTAGATGCTATCAGACAGAATTCCAACCTCAGATGTGGAAAATGTGGTCTCAGCCATGAAAAAAAGTGCCCAGCTCAAGGTACAAGGTGTAGAAAGTGTAACCAGTGGAACCACTGGGAACAAGTGTGCAGAAATAAACAAGCACAGGATCGGAAAGCTAAACCTTCACTCCGGAAGCAGCCTGGGGCTGGATACCGCACGCCAAGTCAAGTCAGAACAAGATACACACAGTTGAGGAGACAAATTCAGACTCTGATGAGTTGTGTTTCGAGACAATTAAAATTGACAGTTCCAATGTTACTCCAGTAAAAGATGAAGCTTTTGCAAAGCTCCAAGTAAAGTTGCCTAATGTTGATCATCCTAACCCTGTGCTCAAAGTGAAAGTAGATACTGGCGCCCAGGAAATATTCTGCCTTTGCGAATTTATCGGAACATGTTTCCACACCATGTGGGTGAAAATGGCCTTCCCACGGAGACAACACCGAGTCAGACCAAACTGACTGCATACAATGGCACCCAAATACCCCAGCATGGAGTATGTTCTATCAAGTGCTCTTATGGTGACAAAGCAACTGATGCAATGTTTTATGTTGCTGATGTCGCTGGCCCCGCCATTTGTGGCCTACCCACCTGTTGCCAACTTAACCTGGTGGAGTTACACTGTGCAGTAGGCACATGTTCTAGCAAAGTGCCTCTCCCAGCAGTTAAGGATAAAGGTGACCTCCAAGCTTTGTACCCTGACCGTTTTGATGGCATTGGTAAATTTGAAGGGGAATACCACATTGTCACTGACCCGGATGTGCCACCTGTAGTTCATGCACCACGGAAGTGCCCAATACACATCAAGGATGATATTAAAAGGGAGCTTGATGAAATGGTCCATCTTGGAGTCATTAAACCTGTGACCGAGCCCACAGACTGGGTTTCAAGTGTGGCTTACTCCCAAAAGTCAAATGGACGATGGCGCGTATGCCTTGACCCTAAAGATCTTAACCAAGCTGTCAAGAGAAGCCATCATCATACACCTACCCTAGAGGAAATCACCCACAAGTTCAAAGGAAGCACAGTATTTTCAAAACTGGATGCCCGTCATGGTTATTGGTCCGTAGTGCTCGATAAAGAATCCTCTTACCTTACCACCTTTAACAGCCCGTTTGGTAGATTTAGATTTACTCGTCTTCCCTTTGGACTCTGTGTTAGTCAGGATATTTTCCAACAGAAGATGGATTTTATCCTTGAGAAATGCCCAGGAACAGTTGGCATTGCTGACGACATTGCAGTTCATGGTCCTACCGAGGAAGAACATGATGCCAATTTGCACAACCTGATGCTAGTCGCGCGGGAGCATGGACTTGTCTTCAACCTAGACAAATGTATTATTAAAGAAGAACTGATAACATTCTTTGGAATGTTATTTGATACTGAAGGAGTGCACCCTGACCCAGAAAAGGTGGAAGCTATCCGAGCCATCCAGGTCCCACAGGATGCCCAAGAACTCCAGTCTTTCCTTGGTATAGCAACATACATGGCCCCTTTCATTCCAAATCTGTCTGCTCTGTCTGAGCCTCTGAGGAACTTGCTTAAGAAAGGCAGTGACTTCCACTGGTCTCCTTCCCACAGTACAGCTTTTGAGAAAATCAAGCAGTCAATCTGCCGTCAAGTCTCCCTTACGTATTTTGATCCTAAGAAGGACACAATCCTCCAGGTTGATGCCTCCCTTAGGGGACTCAGGGAGTGCGTTAGTGCAAGAAGGCAAGGTTGTTGCTTTCGCATCTAGAGCACTCACGGACACGGAAAAACGATATGCAAATATTGAGCGTGAGATGCTTGCTGTTGTTGTTGCTTGTGAGAAATTTCACTCCTACTTGTTTGGCAAGAGGTTCATGGTTGAGTCAGATCACAAACCTCTTGAGATGATTCATTTGAAGAATCTTACAGCTGCTCCTCCAAGACTCCAGAGAATGTTACTCAGAATACAAGGATATGACTTCACTATCAAGTACAAACCTGGCACAGAAATGCTTCTTGCTGACCCAATGTCAAGACTAAACCCTCTACCAAATGAAGAGTCACTGGACCTTCAGAAAGTATGCCTAGTGCGATTCTCTGATGATAAGTTGAATGCCTTGAGGCGAGACACGTCCTGTGATCCTGAACTTTCAGCCCTACGAGAAATTATCTACTCTGGCTGGCCTGAAAAACAGAAACAAGTTCCAGTGCCATTGAGGAAGTTCTGGGCCTACCGTGACGAGTTATCTATTGAAAACGGTCTAGTACTCAAGGGAGAAAGAGTGATTATTCCGAATCACAAAGAGATGATATCTTAGAGAAGATACATCAGGCTCACCAAGGTGTTGCGAAGTGTCAGCTACGAGCAAAATCCTGTGTATTTTGGCCCAATATTAACAAGGACATTGAAGCTAAAGTCCAGAAGTGTGAAATTTGTCAAGAAAGCCAAACCACACAAACCAAAGAAACACTGAACCACATGAAGTACCTACTAGACCATGGCAAGTAGTTGGTACTGATCTATTCACATGGCATGGGGACGAATATCTGCTTATGTGTGATTATTACTCCAAGTTCCCCATCATCAAGAAAAATACCAAGTGGACAATCCACTGGACAAACAGTTGTAAGGCTTACAAAGTGCGTGATGTCAGAACAAGGTGTACCGAAAGTCATAATTTCGGACAATGGTCCACAATATGACTGTCAAAGCTACAAGCAGTTCTCTAACGAATGGGGCTTCCAACACATAACGTCCAGCCCCAGATACCCACAGTCCAATGGGTTTATTGAGCGACAAGTCCAGACTGTTAAAAACACTTTAGACAAGGCTGTAAAATCTGGAGAGGACCCTTACATGTCAATGCTCTGTCTTAGATCTACTCCGATTGATTCACAGCTTCCGTCCCCTGCTGAATTACTGTATCAGCGTAAACTTCAAGCAAATCTTCCGGTCAGAGTGGACAATCGAATACCTGACAGGGACAAAGTCGCCCAGCGCCTGACAGAACGTCAGCAGTCCATGAAACACTACTATGACCGGAATGCGCATGATCTAAGTCCCCTGACAACAGGGCAACCTGTACGCATACAGGACCAAGCTTCAAAGAAGTGGTTACCAGGAACTGTGAGTTGCACAAGACCTGAGCCGCGGTCATATGAAGTGAAAACCCAATCTGGTTCAATCCTTCGCCGTAACAGGCGCCACCTTCGCCCGGCAAACACGGGTCAACCTGTGATTAGCTCTGAGGATGAGCCTGCAATCACCGAGTCTGATGACCCTGTTGTTGAACCCTCTCATGATATTCCGAAGTCTACTAAGGCACCGCACACCGTTGTGTCCAGTCCTACAAGAGATGTTGGTCTCACCCCTGGATCCCCCGGTGCTAGTGCGAACCCTGGGACCTATCGGACCAGGAGTGGGCGTACAATTATAAGACCTGCTCGTTTTACTGAATAGAACCTTTTGTTTTAGGAGTTGAGCGCCTATACCAGTTCGTTTGTTCAAGTTCACACTTACCACGCGTACTCCATTGTTATACCAATTTAGGATTTAGTGCAGTGACTTTTGATGCACACCATATGTTGCCAGGATTTGTTGAGACTTTACCAAGGACTTCCCACCTTGCGGAATAGTGGATTTTTACTCTTGACTTTTAAGAACTGATTACCTTTAAGGACTCTTGTTCAATTCCTTTTTGTACAGTAGGAGGGATGTTATAGTATGCTTTATGTCAGGGACTGGGCCCGAGTTTGGTGTCTCTTTGGGCCCGCCATCTTGCTACTTGTGTGTATTAAAAGGTTGTGTTCATCTATCCGTTCTCTCGTGTCACATATCATAGTTTATCCAGGATACTTTAACAATCGCCACTGGGGGACGTTATCTTTTTTAACGTTGAAAATGTGATGTGCCGACTGTGTTGACGGGTTTCATTTATTTATTGCCCCCGCACGGATTTCGCCCGGAAGGCGAAATCCCGAGGAGGCACTCTAGTAACTTGCGTATATTAAAATCTACAGTCATACAGTCATACAGTCAGTGCTTGAAGGTCCTTGAACAGGGGCCGCGAGGAATCGGTAGGTAATGATGACGTTTCTATTGCTTGCGCCCGCAAGTACGAAATGGTTAGGATGACGTAAAGACAGAACATCCCCGAGGGACCGCTAAGGTAGGTGGAGGGAGCTCACGCAGTTTTCCAAAGCTCATGCACGTTGTACGTGCCTAAGATTTTTACCACTCTCCGAGCCGGTCTGAGTACTAATTCCTGGGTAGGTACTTCATGTAAACTTCATCTATTTTCATTTACGGTAACATAAACGATCACAACAATCAGTTTACTTTGCTCAGGGGTCTTTTGTGTTGATCAAAGTAACAGCGCTGAAACCTACCAAAGGTAAGAAAGGCATTTTAGTGCATGATGTATACATATTACAATGGGTTAATGACAATATTGATTGACACAGTAGAAAGGATGCATGAGCTTTTAGCCCAGTTAATGACAGCGCCCAGCTGCCCTCTGGCGGGCGATTTGTGCTGCTTTATAAGTAATGGTAACAGAACTGAGTGGAGTCCAATTCGGTCTGTAATCATACGAGTGATAAACAAAATCGGACGACCGCGTAGCGAGAGTCCGATTTGTTTAATCACGAGTATGATTACAGACCGAATTGGACGACACGAAGTTCTGTTACCAATTAATTCGATATTGTGTATGATCCTTTAATTTTTGCGAACTGTCCAATTAATAATTAATTTTGTTAGTTTCTTATTAGAGTTCAGCACTGACGGTGCTGAATGGGGTTAAGCAGTAAAATAGTGATTAAGGTTCGATATGGTTAGCTTCTTTTTAGGGTTTAATAGGGTTTTTTACCATATTCAAATCAGTCTTGTGTTAAAAAACTGGGCTATTATATTCGGACATTAGTTACATAGTCTCTCGAATGGACACTTAGAAAATGGTAAATGAAGGGTGACCCAGTCTGCAGAGTGGCAAGTGCATGCACTAGCCTTTTCTCGTAATTCTTTTTGTACACACCAAATTTGTAGCATTGCACACGGCAGCACCATGCGTAACAAGAGATTTGCACCTGACCTACTGACCTGTAGGGGAGTAGCCATGATCTTTTTCCCAATCCACCCTAACCTGTAAGTTTAACTCATTTGGATGGACTGGCAGTTAGGTCCCAACCTTACAGTTGCAGTTTCATTTGTTTCATTCCAAATTAATGTTCTATAGTTGTCGTAAAAGCTTAAAATACATGCACCTTAAATTTGTTTAAGGTATCAGAACTGCTATAAAGTCAAAAAGTGATCATGCTTATAAAATCGCGTACTTGAAATGTACTCTTAACCTGAACTCAAATTCCAAAAATGAAGCATTTTCATTGAACAGAAGCCGAGGAAACAAAGGCCAAAGTTGGTATCTGAGAGCACTCTTTTGGAGTTATATTGCAATTTTCACAACCTGACACGTGATAAAGCATTATGAGTTTCAAGTAAGTCAGGGCAAACTTATAGCAAAATTCGCTCACATTCTGCTTTCCCAGATAAAGTATGATTATTTTGTTATTTCTAAATCATTTCTATGGCTGTAAAAAGCCTTCCAGAGAAACCTTAGATATATGATCCTTGCAAGGTCGATGACAGATAAGGCTGCAGTTAAATGACCTTTTATGCAAATTAGCACGTTTCTAAGACTAAAACATTGTTTACGAAGGCGTATTAAGAGTACGTCACATAACGAATTCAAACAAAGATAAACCCTTTTTCTCGCCACTTTCCGTGCTACAATTGGGTCAGTGTCACAACAAATATTAAGAACAGCGGTTTTCTTGGAAGAATTCGAGATGGCGACGAAGAAAACAGTGCAGCGCGACGAAAGTTATGGGCTAATGAAGGGCAATTCTGCGGCTGCGTTGGACCGCACTCAAACCAAATTGATGTAAAAAGTTGAGGATTAATAATACCGTGCTAAAACTTGCCAGGTTTATTCACACGATGTCAAGGAAAGATGTATTAAATTTCTGGCTATTCGTGGAATATTTTGGAATTTTTTTGGCAGCCGAAGTCACAGGGCATTACCAAAAAAATTCCACCTCTATGTCTCAGGAAAAATTTACTGGCTACTGCCAGGAATTTAAAGGTAAATAAATAATCTAATTATAAGTCGGTTCCAATTTTTTTTATTCCTAGCTATCAAGAGAAAGACAGAAATATGGAATTACTGAATTTTTGAGCCTGCAATATAAATCAGAAATCACACCTTAGCTGTGAAAACTGACACCTCAAATTTCAATTTTCTGAAAGCTCAGTTCTCGCTTGATAGACCTCTGTAATTTTTAATGTGCAAAATTCTTTACTATTTGAGAAATAAATTTTTCAAATGGAATGGTTCTTAGCAGATCTAATACCTTAAGTTTCAGTTTGTGAAATTGCAAAAATTAAGTGGGTTATTCCAAAATTTACAAAAAATTGCTTAAATTAACATGTCGCCAAAATTGCACATAATAAAGTACCTGAAAAAAATGAGATAAAAGAAGCGCGCATTTAAAAAGGTTACACAAAAGTTACGTTGCTTATCAGAAAATATGCACCTAGAAGTCCACTTGATTCTGTGTGGTGTGGTTTTTTGTTCCAAATATTGCAATTTCTCTTTCACATTCAATTTTGGTTTTCTAAAATATTCACCAAGGACCAGAGGCTGGGGACTCTCAGGTGGCCACCACCCTATGAGCGTGACCCACAAAAGGAAAGCTGAACTCAGTGAACCTTCTAGCTCAACTTCTTCAACCCACTCACCAGCTGTTTTTGTCTCATTATGCAATTTTCCTCCCCAAGAAACCCTGCATCACATTCAAACCACATTCCTTTCCCAAGTTTGATCAATCACAGAGCAAGGTTTCAGAATCTATTTTTGAGCAAACCTTTTTCACATGTCATCCATTCATAGCCTGTATTCTATCATGTCTTGTGCAGTGTGAAGTTTTCTACCATAAAGCTGTTGTTTTTCTTGTCTCATGCATTTTTTTTTTCTAAATGAAAAAGACTTGAAATTGCAACGATTTGACAACCAGCATTCATGCTAAAGATCAAATTTGGCATCCAGTTATTCTACAATTCCATTGACTTTTTTTATAAACATGTGAGCTTTAAAATAAAATATCTGGTCTGCCTATAAAACTGAAGGACTTGATAAACATGGTGATGATCTGATTTCAATCACCTGTTTCCTGTCAAAAAATATTTCAGCAGTGGAAAATTTACCGATCCATCTTTTCTACCTAGTACTGCACAGTTTAAAGTTGTCCCTTTCAGTGCCAAGTGTGTTGTTCAAAATGTGTGGCAGAAAATTTCTAGTCAGTCTTTGATTCAGTGTTTGTGAAAGCAAAACATAACCCTGGCCTCAAACATAGCTGGCACCTCCATATAAGCATATTTACAGCGACGATTTGCCAAACTGCCTAACTTCATGCCAGCCTAGGATGTATGCTGATGACACACACATCACTTATGCATATGTTGTTGTGAATTCAATACAGTTAAATTTGAATCACGATTTAGGTAATCTAAACAAATGGCTTATTTTCAACGATACTTTGAACACTGCTAAAACTGAATTTATGCTAATTGGATCAAGACAAAAATTGAGTACTTTATCGAGCCAACCCGAGCTCTTGATTGATAATATTCCAATGGAAAAAGTTACCTCTGTAAAATCGCTTGGAATATTTATTGATGTAAATCTACGGTGGCAAATGCACATCAATAAATTATCTAAATAGATTGTGTCCGGGATAGGAGCAATTAAAAGAATGAGAGATTTTGTTCCAATGCCTACTCTCCATTATATATACAATGCTCTCATTCAATGTCAATTCAATGATATTGATTGTAATATTGTCTGGGTAATTGAGGAAAAACTTTCTTTGACAGGCTACAGAAGCTTCAGAACCATGCTGCTCAGGTTCTAACCTGTTCTACATATGATGCTGATGCCAACCGCTTATTTGGACAACTTAATTGGAAAGACTTAAGCACTCAGTTTCAAATACAAAAAGCCCTAATGGTTTACAAGTCTTTAAATGATCTTGTTCCAGGATATTTATCCTCTAAATTTGTTAAACGATATGAAACGCGCTACTCCCTAAGGGACTCTGTTAACAGACCAATATTTATTGTCCCGTTCCTGCAAACTAACTTCATGAAGAACAGCTTCAGTCATAGTGGAGCAGTTCTCTGGAACAGCCTGCTCACTGTGATATGAGAGAGGCTAAATCTTTAAGTCAACTTAAACGATTGGCACATCTGAATTTCTGACGAATAAAGAATTTTTCTTTCTTTCTTTTCTTTCTAAATCACAGGGGCTCATTTTATGGGGGGGGGGGAGAAAATTCACCCCTCCCCCACCGTCTTTTTGCATATACATGTACCCCGCATCTTGAAAAGTTGCCCCTGTTATATAGTATTTGTTATTCAGCTGAATTTTTAAGGATTCGGAATATTTAGAAGGTAGCAGAATAGCGACTTATCAGCTTTTTTTAAGTCTGAGCATTGTTTTAGCTGGGGTGGGGGGCTAGGGTACTCAGGGAGTGGCTGGGTGGGTATTTGGAACCACAAGCAGAAGGCTGAGTCATTTCACTAATAATATTGTTGCTTATTTATTTTTTAAAATGACATTGAAAGTTTTACTTATAATATTTCAGTTTCTGGTGAAGATTCTTGTAAAATCACTCACTAGAGAAAGAGAAAATAAAATTGCATAAAAGTTACATGTACATTAGCCTGAAATTCATCTGATTGCTTCGAGTCGTTTTCTCCTCTCAACAACTGAGGGAGTAATAACAACTCGAAGTAATCGGAAGAAATTCAGGCTACATGTACATCACTATACTGGTAATTTCTTAGACCAATTCTCTTGACCTATGGAATGTATGAAATCATTAACTTATTACAAAAATAATGAGTAATAGATTCTGTATTGTCATCATTGTCATCTGCAGTACGTAAGTTTTCTTTGCCCCTTTTTTTTTCACTGTAAGTCTCACCTCAGTAACCTTACTAAGTTTAATCGCTCTCCTTAAAAATTATTAGTAGCATTTCCCATTCAACTGCGAGCACTTAACGTCACACCAAACTCCAATTACATTACTACAAAGCAAATAAGGAAACCAGGGTGCACAGAAAATCATTTCTACAGCTTACCATTCGGGCAAACTAAAGCTAGTATTTAGTAGCCCAGACGTCATTTCAACTAGCCCCAAAAGCTTTGACTAGCAGAATTGATTTCACAGTTCTTCTGTTATTCGAATTCCTCAAAAAACATCACTTGCCCATCGGGCAAGTTAAAAACAGAATTCACCAGCGCGATAGCAAAATCCACCAGCCCTGGGCTATGGGACACTACTTTCTTTGCTCGCTGGAAACATGCTTCTCAAAAATTATTAATAATAGTAGAGTAATAGAAAATTAATGTGTGTTAACTCTTTGCAAATTAGTGAGTTTATCTTGAATGTTTGTTTTCCATTTGGTGGTGAAGCTGATTATCATATATGATGTAGAATTATTGATTGGTTACTTGTGCTAAGTAGGGTGTATGGCAGCCTCCATGAAATTAAGCTCTGTATAGATATTGTGACATAAGGTTTTTTGCCTAAACTCTGGAATATTTTTTTTACTAAAAGTTGAAATTTTTAAGTACAGTATTTGCTATTTAAGTTTTAGACATGTTGAGATAACCTTGAGTACCTCGAGTAGCCTCCTCTATGTGACAGTTTCTATTTTGCTCTTATTTTATTGGTTATGGTTTCAGTAACTCTTCATAGTGAAACCTTGCTCAGTATCCTGCAAGCAAGCTTTCTGAGGGTTTGGGAGGGGAAAATCTCCCCTTTTTTTTCTCCACCTAACCCCAGTGCCCCCAGAAAGAACTTGTCTCCTGGGTGTTAGTTGGTATTACTCAGTGCAGACTAAAACTTAAAAAGTAAGCACTAACTAAGAGGAAAACTTTCTAGAAATTCCTTTCACATGTTTGTTTGAATTACAAGTCAGTTCTTTTCTTCTCTCCAAGAAGGGCAATAAATGTTGTCAAAATTTAATTTCATGGGAAAGATTATCTTAATACATGATGACTCATTGTAACTCTAATTATGATATAAGTTTTTGTATTTTTAACTTTATAGTCAAGTAGTTCCTTAAAGTATTTTATAGTCTAATTTTATATACAATTCATAGGAAGACCATGTAAAATTGATACGTTTTCATGTAATATATCAAACATCAGATGCAGTGTTTCATCACCAGATGAAACACCAAGAAGAGAGTTGAAAATACGACGCACAGCGGAGTATTTTTGACGAACTTCGAGGTGTTTCATCCGGTGATGAAACACTGTGTCGAATGTTTGATATTTCTTCTCAAACAAAATCATTTTTGAAGGAGAAATTAAGGATACAAAAATGAGCAGTTTTTCATCTGATATCCAAACACTCATTAAACATTAATTTCCTCTGAATTTTCTTTATGAATTATTAATGAGTTTGAGAAGTATAAATAAAGATTGGTGGTGATGATGTTGCAGTTTAGCTGAAAAGTAGTTTTTGATGGCAAATTACTGACATATGATGGCAAAACATGAAAAAAACTATATTTTGTTTTAGTCGTTTTTATTGTGTTTCAGGGTTCTGCTGGTGATCATGGCCAGGTTGCATAAAGCCTTCTTAAGATAAGAGGGCTCTTAACTCTTGTTCTGAAACAATAACCTAAAAGCCACAATCTTAACTACAACTGGGAGCGGCAAAGAGCAAAATTGTAAGCTGCAATTTAAATTTCAGAGTTTGTGTGTTATTGAAAGGTAGAGTAATCTAGCTGGATTTAATGCTTTAAGAAAGGTGCAGAATAAAATCTCTTTATTTTATATTGATAGGGTGCAAAGGAAGCTGCAGTTCATGTCTTTAAAGTGTAAACAGTGTGCAAAATGTTTTAGCCGAGCTGGACACTTAAGGAATCATGAAAGAGTTCACACTGGGGAAAAGCCTTATGAATGTAAACAGTGTGGCAAGTGTTTTAGCGAAGCAGGAAACCTAAAGAGCCATGAAATAGTTCACACTGGGGAAAAGCCTTTCGAATGTAAACAGTGTGGCAAGTGTTTTAGTGTAGCAGGAAACTTAAGGATTCATGAAAGAGTTCACACTGGGGAAAAACCCTATGAATGTAAACATTGTGGCAAGTGTTTTAGTACAGCAGGAAGCCTAAGGATTCATGGAAGAGTTCACACTGGGGAAAAGCCTTTCGACTGTAAACAGTGTGGCAAGTGTTTTAGTGTAGCAGGAAACTTAAGGATTCATGAAAGAGTTCACACTGGGGAAAAGCCTTATGAATGTAAACATTGTGGTAAGTGTTTTAGTACAGCGGGAAGCCTAAGGATTCATGCAAGCGTTCACACTGGGGAAAAGCCTTATGACTGTAAACATTGTGGCAAGTGTTTTAGCCGAACAAGAGACCTAAAGAGACATGAAAGAGTTCACACTGGGGAAAAGCCTTATGAATGTAAACAGTGTGGCAAGTGTTTTAGCGAAGTAGGAAATCTAAGGAGCCATGAAATAGTTCACACTGGGGAAAAGCCTTTCGAATGTAAACAGTGTGGCAAGTGTTTTAGTGTAGCAGGAAACTTAAGGATTCATGAAAGAGTTCACACTGGGGAAAAGCCTTATGAATGTAAACATTGTGGCAAGTGTTTTAGCCGAACAAGAGACCTAAAGAGACATGAAAGAGTTCACACTGCGGAAAAGCCTTATGAATGTAAACAGTGTGGCAAGTGTTTTAGCGAAGTAAGAAATCTAAGGAGCCATGAAAGAGTTCACACTGGGGAAAAGCCTTTCGAATGTAAACAGTGTGGCAAGTGTTTTAGTGTAGCAGGAAACTTAAGGATTCATGAAAGAGTTCACACTGGGGAAAAGCCTTATGAATGTAAACATTGTGGCAAGTGTTTTAGTACAGCAGGAAGCCTAAGGGTTCATGGAAGAGTTCACACTGCGGAAAAGCCTTTCGAATGTAAACAGTGTGGCAAGTGTTTTAGTGTAGCAGGAAACTTAAGGAGACATAAAAGAGTTCACACTGGGGAAAAGCCTTATGAATGTAAACAGTGTGGCAAGTGTTTTAGTACAGCGGGAAACCTAAGGATTCATGAAAGAGTTCACACTGGGGAAAAGCCTTATGACAGTAAACATTGTGGCAAGTGTTTTAGCAAAGTAGGAACCCTAAAGAGGCATGAAAGAGTTCACACTGCGGAAAAGCCTTATGAATGTAAACAGTGTGGCAAGTGTTTTAGCCAAGCAGGAAACCTAAGGAGCCATGAAATAGTTCACACTGGGGCAAAGCCTTATGAATGTAAACAGTGTGGCAAGTGTTTTAGCCGAGCAGGAAACCTAAACAGTCATGTAAGAGTTCACACTGGGGAAAAACCCTATGAATGTAAACATTGTGGCAAGTGTTTTAGTACAGCAAGAAGCCTTAGGATTCATGGAAGAGTTCACACTGGGGAAAAGCCTTTCGAATGTAAACAGTGTGGCAAGTATTTTAGTGTAGCAGGAAACTTAAGGATTCATGAAAGAGTTCACACTGGGGAAAAGCCCTATGAATGTAAACATTGTGGCAAGTGTTTTAGTACAGTGGGAAGCCTAAGGATTCATGCAAGCGTTCACACTGGGGAAAAGCCTTATGACTGTAAACATTGTGGCAAGTGTTTTAGCAAAGTAGGAACCCTTAAGAGTCATGAAAGAGTTCACACTAGGGAAAAGCCTTATGAATGTAAACAGTGCAGTAAATGTTTTAGCGAGGCAGGAAGCTTGAAAAGTCATCAAAGAGTTCACACTGGAGAAAAGCCTTATAAATGTAAATACTGTGGCAAGTGTTTTGGTCAGCGAGGAAGTCTTAAGAAGCACAAAGACGTCCACAGTGGAAAAACGTCGCTTAACTGTGACAGTAACAAATGTTCGTTTAAACGTTTGCATTGTAAGCGTAAGAGAGCAGGAAGTAATATAAGGTCAGGATTTACAAACACCACACTGTCACATAGAGAGACTAGAAACAGTGGTATGGAAGACCAGGAATCAGGCATCATTGAGAAACACAGCTGCTGGATTTGTCAAGAGGAGATGAGTAGTGAATCCCTTCTTCTTCAACATTATGAAAACCATATGACTTATGTAGCTGAAGATGTTTCAGAAAGATGACGAACGCTTCGATCTTTGGGAATTGTTAATTAATTTCGTTTCGGGTTTTAAGGTTTTGTTTTTTTAACTGTGAATATTATCTCCGATATCGTTTTGTTACCTTTGATGTATCGGTTGAGTTGAAAAGGTCCGATTTGAGGGAAAAAGTGTTGACGTCAGCTTTACTATCCAGGCCTATTTTAGAAGGATTTGTATTGAAGTAATCGAGGACTATTAGTGTAGCGTAAAAGTTCGGATAGGTAAGTTGGTGCCAAGCCATTTAGACATTTATAAACTAAGAGTAAAGTTTTAAAATGTATGCGATAACCCAGCGGCAACCAATGAAGTTTGAACAGGATAGGAGTGATATGGTCAAACCGCTTAGATAATGTAACAATGCGTGCAACAGTGTTCTGTATCAGTCTTAACCTGTTTAACAGGTGTTTAGGACGACCATATAACAAGGACCTAGAGTTACAGTTATCGAGTTTAGAGCTAATAAACGCATGATTGCCTCTGGATTGTTAACAATCCAGAGGCCGCTCAATAAGGTGACTTTAATATCTGGACCTGTGAGGACTTTTGACTTTGTCTCTTTGACGACGTATCCAGCAAATGTTAGGGTATACGCTTGAATATCACATCAAGTTTTTTTTGTACAATTCTCTTCCGTAATTTCAAGACTAGAAACGACGTGGACATGACGAGTTTCTTTATGTTTTGTTAACTTGGGGACAGTCCTCAAGAATTCATCTCCAGAAAAGTTTCTTTTCACATGACAAATCAAAAGAACTGGAATAGTAGCGATAAAGTTTATTGCAACGCGAATTGACTTTCCAGTGGCGTTTAAGCTTATGTAACCTATCATCGATAACCTGGTTTGAATGACTGAACTATGAAATGGAATGAAGCAACAGAAAGCAATCCTGACGGAGTTTGACCCTGACTCGTACCCAGACATCTCTTGTCATTTGTTGGCGATCAAGGGATTGGTTAGGGGTGAAACTTTTATCGTAGATCTCCCCCTCCCCCAGCATCTTCCACATACCTTCCACATTAAAATGGAGAGACAAGATAAATACTTGGGACGGATGAAGCTTTGACCTGCTCTGGTGAAGCAGGGTCTGCGTACCACTTTTGTAGAAGGATTTGATACGAGTAGAACTGGGAACACAACACTTTAATCGCTACGAGACAGACTAATCTATTCTGGTACAGAAGCTACAGGGGCACCCAACGAGGATATAGTTCAAAACCACTTAACATAGCATTGTTGAACGTATTTTAGTATTCAAACGGTAGATATAGGCATATTTTTATCCCCTAAAAACTTTTCATCTGTTCGGATTTCCTAGCTGAAAGTCTAGTGATCCGAAAACTATAGGGATAAAAACTTACCTTCTCGAAAATTTCAGCCAGGAAAAGGCTCCCGAAAATTCTAGGTGGTCTTTTTTAGGGTCAAAATCCGTTAAAAATGGATAATTATACCATTTTGTAGATGTTCGAAAATCCTAGGGGAGGCAGGCAAGCAAGAAATTTTACAACAAATGCTCCGAAAATTCTAGATCTCAAATCGTCTTCCGAACAGATATTTTCCCGAAAATTGCCGTTGGGTGTCCCTGAAGCTACGCATGTGTATTGCCCCGGAGCGGTTTAGACCTTAGGTTCAGACCGGGTTTTAGTATTTTCTACCTCATATATGACAGCACAAACTGTTCCACAACATGCGCAGGCACGGAAGGGGGGGTGGTGGTGCTTGGGGGTGAGGCCTTCCCACACCCACTTGTTTTTTTTTTTTTTTTTTTTTGGGGGGCCAAATCGACAACTCTAAACAAACAGACAACACTGATATTTTCCAAAGTTCGTCACTGCATAAGTTCTCTGATTCTACAGTAAGGATCTGGTTTTCACTTCTGTACCCGGGGCGGGGGGCTTCGTAGCCTTGTTGTGTCAAGTAACAATAAAAGATAAGCAAAACCGCGCTGATCACTAAGGTAACAAGGAATGATAAATCAGAACGCGCTGATCACTAACAGAAAAATGACAGATAAATCAGAGCGCGATGGTCACTAAGGTAAGAATCAACGATAAATCAGAGCGCGCTGATCAATAACGTAATAATCAAAGATAAATCAATGCGTGCTAATCCTCACGTAAGAATGAAGGATAAATCAGAACGCACTGATCACTCAAGTAACAATCAAAGATAAACCAAACCGTTCTGAACCCAATAGAAAAAAAGCAGTTTATTTGAGTAACAATGTATTTAGCACGAAAGTACTAATTGGGGACACTACATTTACGTCTCCTACTGGAGACGGGACTGCCATTTTACGTGGTCATCCGAACCACGCGAAGGTCTAGCCGCTCGTTGGGCAAAGGAAGTACCTTCATTTCTCAGTTATTTTAAGACCCTGAGTATCGGTCCGGCCTCAGGAATCGAACCCGCGACCTCCCGCTCTGCAGTCAGCGCTCTACCGACTGAGCTAATTCTGCCGCGGTTAAATCAGAGCGCGCTGATAACTCACTTAACAATGAAAGACAAATCAGAGCGCGCTGATCACTAACGTGATTAAGCATTATAACATAGCTAGAAAATTCGCCTAATCAAATTCAATAGCGCGAGCGTGCTTCATATTCCTATTGAGCACGCTGATGACGTCAATAAACTATTCGTAATTCCTCGAGTTGTTGTGAGCTTAGCAATCCTGAGTCTCCTGAGGGAATCCATAACTCAGCAATAGACAATGAAGCGTTTACCATGTGTTTTATAAGGAAATTTAAGAGGAAACGTTTGAATTTGTTCACCGATAGTAAGGAAAAGAGGTGAGTGTTGTTGTTGTTGTTGTCATCTCCGCGAGCTCTGCGGGTTATGGCGTGAGATCATTCTTTGCAAAGTTGTTTTCTCTCAATAACAATTTTTCGGTAAATTAATAGTTTTCCGCACCTAAATATGGATTTTACAATCATTTTAGAGTACACTTTCTCTCAGTTTCAGGATAAAAACATAAGATTAACTGTGAGGAAAAAAAAATATAGTCACGTAAACATTGACGCGTACTACTTTGAGCGCGCCCTACAATAATAAAATTTTAAGTTTACCCGGCTGCATTGATCGCTTTGATAATGTTATAAAACAATTAGTTCATGCTGCAGCTGTGCGTAAGTCGAGATATTGAGCACTTGGGAAGTTTGGAGAGCACTCAAGAGGCTAGAGTTACACTCGGCTGCGCCTCGTGCAACTCTTACGCCTCTTTCGTGCTCTCCAAACTTCCCGCGTGCTCAATATCTCGACATACGCACGCTGACGCATGAACCAATTGTTAAATAGAAAACGTTTTCCGTGTTTGCATAGCCTGATATAAACACGAGAGGGGTTGGGAAAATTCGAGACAGTTATGCAAACCCTCGACTTCGTCTCGGGTTTGCACTGAACTGTCGAGAATTCTCCCAATCCCTCGAGTGTTTCTATTGTTTTTATAAAATAACTCTCCCGAGAAAAAACGCAAACCTTTGTTACGGTCCTGATTAAAAGAGAAATTCTTACCAGTCGCAAAGTCTTATACACGAAGTCTTGCACGCGTAATCAGTTCTTGTTTTGCAAAAAGATGCTTTCCAAAATACGGATTTTTCTCGCTTAAAATGTCAGCTTAAGCGAAAAAAAAAATAAACACACATTCTTTGTAACGATTTTCCAAGTTTCAGCCGACGAAGGAATAGGTAAATAAAGCAAACTTGTCGAGTTTTGAACTTGAAAACTTTTTCAAATTTGTGCTTGCGTGATTAGCACGCGAAAAGCAAAACATCTTGACGCCACAACCATGTATACAGACTCTCACGCAAACACTCCTCTCGGCCAATCAGAGCGCGCGTACTATCTTAGTTATTTTATAACAATCAAAATCAATAGCATACTGTCCGCCAGAGTCCCTTTCACGCTCGCTGAATAAGAGACGGAGAAATGGAACCGAGCCAAGAAGTTGAACGTTAGATACGTCCTAAAGAACTCAGACACTGCCAAAACTAAAAACCGGTTCCCAAAACTCAAAGAAGAGAAAAACCCAGTTCTCCAACACTGAAGATGAAGAGGTGGAACAAAAGTACTCATAAACTCAGAGTATAGTGAAACAACTAGACTGCTGATACTAGCTGAGAGCTGGGCAAGGAGGTCTTTCAGGGAATACCAAAAGGACTGCGTGGTAAAACACGAAGAGGCTGCCAACCGCTGAGTGGCAACAAGCAAATAAACTGGAGATAAAGGTCCAACGTAAAAAGGAAACCTAAGGCGCAGAGGAGACGCGAGAAAAACCCACCCAAGGGATGGCAGCCTGAGCGTCGGTATATCCGACTAGGGTAGTAGACACCCTTTCAGGCTACCATGGAAGCGCAGGAAGAAATGACGGCAGAAAAGGCGAGGAACGAATAGCACACATAAATTAAAAGAACAGAAAAACAACTAAGAACACGAGGGAGTAATTACACTAGGACAAGGGAGTAGACCCGCAGAACTGGAGACCGCGTGGCGAAACACGCGTCAAATTACAGAAAAATGCAAAGGAAAACATTATCATTCAAAATCTACAGAGGCCGAGGAAATAACACCACTGTAAACAGATTAAATTAGTGAGGGAAAGAACGCAGAACCCAACAGAACTTAAAACTAAATAATACAAAGCAAAAAATAAAGCGTGCAAATTCGAGGGGAGCCGGGGAAAAATCACTGCACAAACCGGAGCTTGTTGGGCAAAGCACGCATAACAAAAGCAAATTAAACTGAATAAAACAAAGAAAACCAAAGGGGTGTAAACTTGAGGGGAGGTGAAGGGAAAAGCACTGCACAAGCCCGATGTTGGGCGGGGGGGGCAAAACACGCAAAGCAAAAAATTACCGAATAAAGCAAAATAAACACAGGCATGCAACAAACTTGACGGTAGCCGAGGGAGTAGCACTGCACAAGCCCGGTGTTTTTGAGTAGGCTTTTGTACATTATGCTTTTGCTTCCCTACTAAAATGCTCCACCTTAATGTTCCATTTTTCCCACTAAAATGGTCGGTCTCCCCAAAAAAGTCACTAAAATGCTCGGAGAATGCTCATTATACAAACGGTTTTTTAAATTAATTTCAAAGTTTACACTGACAAAAAGGTGCAAGTGTTGCAAGTAACAACGACAACGTGTACAAGTTCATAAAACAGCCCAAAAAACAGCTGTATTAGGTTTTTTGTGAATTTTGAATTTTAGTCTTCATTTTGTTTAAAAAAGCAGGAGCTCATGGGGCATGGGCTACTGAAAAAAGTTACTTTCTATTTTATTTTCTCGGAAAATTAATTTTCCATGGAAAATGCCACTAACGTGCTCGAATAATGCTCAATGCTTTCGCCTCACTAAATGCTCGCAAAAATGCTAGCATAATGTACAAAAGCCTATTTTTGAGGCAAAACGCGTAAAACAAAGTTCTGACTAAAGCGTAACAAAAGCGTGTAACTGACTTTATAGCGGGAGCCGAAGGAAAAGCACTGCACAAACCCGATGTTTGTGAGACAAAGAACGCAAAACAAAAATTACTGAATAAAGCAAAATTAAACACAAGCGTGCAACAAACATTACGGGAGCCGAGGGAATAGCAGTGCACAAAGCCGGTGTTTGTGAGGCAAAAGCACACAGAACCAAAATTACTAACAACGAAAGCGTGCAACAAACTACGGGAGCCGAAGGGAAAGCACTAAAACTTTACGAGGGGCGGAAGGAAGAACACTGCACAAACTGCACATAGCGAGGCAAAGTATGAATATTAACGTGTAAAAACCTTACGGGAGCCAAGGGAAAGGTAGTAAACAAACTGGGAGTATAGCACCAGCAAAACACAGGCGATGGAAAGTCAGTCATCGGCACTGTACAGGCGATTGGGCTGTTTGAAGCACAGCTGGAGCTTGTGTAACATTGGCCGGGGCGGGAATTCAATGTAACTGAACAATGTAACAGTAAACGAAACCGAGTAATGAGAAAAAACACCGACTTCTTTCAGTTCCTTGTTATAAAAGGAAAGGGCTTGTGATTTGTCTCGAAGAGCCGTTTTCTATATTGTAGCGTACAACACTTTGACAATTATTACAAAGTTCAAAGTTCTGGGAGAAAAGAACAGGAAATGGACTTGAAGAGAAAAGCCACAGTGGAAGGCAGCAGAAACAAGAAGGCAAAAATAACTTTGAGAGCCTCGAAATGCTGCAAAGTCTTTCAGATCTTTTGTAATATTTATTCATGCATCCTTTTTACTGCACACAGCGATTTACCGGACGTCATGCTAACCACTAACACCTTTGCCTAAAAGCATTCAATAAAATATTAGTAATTGGTTATTGTTTGTCAGATTGTTTCTGTTTTCATTCAGCAGCCCCACCAAGCATTTTTGACTGGTCGTATTAACGGGGTAATTTTATAAGGAAAATAACGACTCAGGACTCGCAAAGGTGGTCGTTAGTCGTAATAACGGGGTGGTCGGATTAACGGGGTTTTCAGATAAGAAAATGAGTGGGCTTTTGTTCGCGCCAAAGAAAAGTGGTCGTAATAACGGGGTGGTCGTATGGCGGGGTTCCACTGTACTAAAGTGATGACGTCATAAAAATGAAATTATGGGATTTGTCAGGATATTCTGAGAGAACAATGTCCAAGAGGCCTACTTACCAAAAGTGAGCATTTCAGGGCAAATTGTCTCTGAGATGTTAGCCGGTTATACTCAGAAAACTCCATACAAACCCTTCTAATTTCTTTTAGGTCGACCCAAAAAAATTTAGAAGGGTTCGTATAAAGTTTTCTAATCATAACTGGGCTACGATCTCAGAGACAATTTGTCCCGGAATGCTCATTAAGTTCTGATTATAAAATTGCATCAAAGCAATGCATCAAGGCTTAAAACTGGGCTGCCTTAATCGACAATAACCAGACGGGCGCTTTGAAAGGCCGGTCTGTCTCCTTAATTAACAATCTTATCGCATACACCGATTTTAGAAACATTCCCGGAATGCTTCTTTTTGTCGACTTTTTAAAAAGGTTGGATACAATCGAATGCTATTTTGTTCAGGAAACATTACTCTCCTTTGGTTTTGGCCCTTCTTTCGTCAATTGGATTAATATTTTCTATTGCGATATCCAGATCTGTGTTATAAATAGCGGATGGTCTGGTTCTTTCTTTGAATTAGTGCGGCGTGTTAGACAGAGTTGCCCTCTTTCTCCATACATATTATGGCTACTGCTGCTCGCAAAGATTCTCAGATTAAGGGAATATCAGTAGAAAATACTGAATGTAAGCCAGTTTGCAGAAGACACTACTGTTGTTCTTGACGGTTCGCAAGCATCGCTTTAGCACTCTCTTTATATCCTAGAAAGGTTTAGCGAGGTTTCGGGGTTAAATGTTAATTGCTTGGATCGGTCCTTTAAGGGGTTCTAATCAAATCTTCTGCCCCGATAAAAATACCCTGGGTACCAGAGGTTTTTCTCGCGTGTTGGCCGAAGGCCGAAGCCACGACCGGGTCACTGTGAAGACTTGACAGAAACCGGAAACCGCGCTAGAAAAGTCTCTGGCACCCAGAGTACGATAAAAAAACTAACATGGGCAAATGGTAAAGTTCAAATTCTGGAAGTTTGGTTTGGTTTGGATCAGCAAGAGGGTCTTAAATTTCGAGGAGAAGATCAGAAAAGTGAAGAACGTTTTGCTTTTTTTTGAAAAAAATTACATGTTTAGGTCTTACAGGAAAAGAAAGAGATATTTAAGTTGGTAATTGTTTATTCTTACATAACTCTAACGCACATTTGCCTACAACTTAAGTCTGCTCATCCTTTTATGGGAAACAAAGTTTTATGCACTCTGATGGAAAGCTAAAGATGGTCGCCACCATCTTACATTATATTCAAACAAAGCATATAAATATATACTCTGAGCAGTGTAAGAAAACTCATCTCTTTGGAAAGACCAAAGGATATTGACTGTAAGGACACGACTTTGTTTTGCTTAAATTGAATATTTTTTAACCCATTAAGAAAAACAGTAGACTCGCAGTTCTTCGGTTCATTAAGCAATAACTTCAGTGTTGCTCTTCGCCGCAGAGGCTTCTTTTTGTTGAAGGGAGGCTAAGGAGAGGGAAGAAGTCGCTATTTCTTAATTATTGCTAGAATCATTGGAATGCACAGCGGGAACATCTGTAGAGGAGACCCCTTCAGCGTTACATTCAGCGTTAAATTCTTTGATTTTCTTTAAATATATCTGTCTGGATTTCATACAAGGTGCCTGTACTGAGTCTCTAGACGGTCAAGTCCAAGGAGCCATTACTCTCCCTCCCCACCCATGAAGCTTATGACTAGTCAATCACTCCCCCCAAGCTCAGCTAGTAGTGTTATGATTATGAGTCACCGCATTGATTTGGCTGGCCTATGCTTTCTGACATAAAACTCCAATCAAAGTGACAAAATCTCCCCTCCATACACCTCTGGTTTTCAAACAAAACAAGGAAGCCACCCACCCACGGATAGGACTGGGCCTGGGCACTCTGCTGACACCTAGCAAGATGCCAAGCCCCCTGGTTTTTTTCCGGCTACACTGGCTTGAACACCGGCGATTCAAGCGAAAACTTAGCAAGTTGTGATTTAGCAAAATCACACAGATATATATATGTTTTATTGTTAAGATTGTTATAAAAAATAGAAAATGATCACCCAAAAACTGCTCTGTCCATTTTCAGAAGAAGCATTGTCTACTTATCAATATCTATTTATAAACCTGCTTGAGGAAAAAAAGTTTGAATTTTTCAACACAACAGATACATGTTCCCTGGGACGATTGATCTATAACAAAACGAAGTAATGCTTACAGTTAAAAGACAAACCCTCCCCAACCGCCCCCCCCCCCAAAAAAAAACAGAAACAAAACTTAACAAAATCTAAAGACCGAAGTCTTTACAAGCCATCTTCAGCTACATGTCTCATGTGATTTTCATAATGTTGAAGAAGAAGAGCTTCACCACTTATCTCCTCTTGACAAATCCAACAACTGTGTTTCTCAGTGATGTCAGATTGCTGGTCTTTCATACTGCAGTTTCCAGTCTCTCTCAGTGGCAGTGTGCTGTTAGTCAACCCTGCCCTTATATTACCTCCTGCTCTCTTACAATTACAAAGCACGCGTTTAAATGAACCTTTGCTGCCGTCACATTTATGCACGATTTTTCTATTGTGAACTTCTTCGTGCCTCTTAAGAACTCCCCAATGACTAAAACACTTGCCACAATGTTTACATTTAAAAGTTTTTTCCCCGATGTGAACTCTTTCATGAATCCTTAGGTAATCTACTCGGCTAAAAAACCTGCCACATTGATTACATTGGTAAGGCTTTTCCCCAGTGTGAACTCTTTTATGAATCCTAAGCATTCCTGATTGACGAAAACACTTGCCACACTGTTTACATTCATAAGGCTTTTCCCCAGTGTGAACTCTTTTATGAATCCTAAGCATTCCTGATTGACTAAAACACTTGCCACACTGTTTACATTTATAAGGCTTTTCCCCAGTGTGAACCCTTTCATGACTCTTTAAGTTTTCTGCTCGGCTAAAAGACTTGCCACACTGTTTACATTCATAAGGCTTTTCCCCAGTGTGAATCCTTTCATGACGTCTAAGGTTTCCTGCTATGCTAAAGCACTTGCCACACTTTTCACATGCATAAGGCTTTTCCCCAGTGTGAACTCTTTCATGTCTCCTTAGGTGTTCTGCTTGGCTAAAACACTTGCCACACTGTTTACATTCATAAGGCTTTTCCCCAGTGTGAACTCTTTTATGACTCCTAAGCATTGCCGATTGACTAAAACACTTGCCACACTGTTTACATACAAAAGGCTT